GCAGCTGATGGCCTCTAAAAGACAGACATAAACTTAACAGTACTGTAGCATTTAGCATCCTTAAGAATTTCGTCGTACCAAACTTCAATGCAACACTTTGTATTTCGGAAAAGATCTGGCCAAAGTTTGATCCATAGGAAAAACTCTTAGTTTTTGATGTTCGATCTCCATTTATCTCAATACCCGCTTATCCCAAATACATTTGGATCAAGTGCAGATCATTTAAATTACCATCAATTGCTGCTTTGTTCAATTTCCACTTATATTTCTGTCCCAGAAAAAATTTTGATCAAAATATTTATCTGAAAACTTGTTGGAATGGTTCACCCAAACATTATATTAACATTTTTTTGGCATATTCAAAGTTTGATGACCAACGACAATTTGTTAGAAAAATGTTAATGGAAAATCGTCAATATAAACAAAATTTATCATCTTTAATGCACAATACCACATTGCCTTTGGAATGTGATCAAATGCTGACGCCTAAACTTTGCAAATTCAACAGAAATAACAGTTTCCGTTTGTATTACTAATAGCTGCAGCCGCCCGGAGACTGTATCAAATGGACATAATTACCCATATAATTTTTTTCATGACCTTCTGGTGTTGCAAAATGCCTCGGATCGTAGCGTATCACGTTGTCCCGCGCCAAAACAGAAACAAAGAATTACAATGCCCGGTAATTGCCAGCCAGTCGCACTACTCCGCAACGCTAGAGTTTCTTGTATTGGCAAAGAAGGTACCGTTGAGAACAAAAGCAACACATTTACTAGGTGTGTTTCTACAACAGTTGAGGACTGATTTGAAACAATCAGAGACATCTGACCAATTGATTCGTGACCTTAGACTTTGATAAAACATAACGCTTGAAGATTCGAATAATAAATGGCAAAAAGTGGAAAAGATACAATGGAGAGATACATATTCAACTGTCTGAATAAAATTGTAATTGGGGTAATTTCCTTTATCCTTGCGATAGGTAATTACGTGAGATCATCGTCATTTTGGATCAGTTTACGTGTAACACAGTATACGAGGCGATGTAAACTTTTGTTAAAAAAATACGTCGGGGAAAAGAAGACAAACTTCCTTTTATAAACACAATAACGTTTTCCATAAATTCCCAAATTTTCGACATTTATTTCCGTTACAATTTCTATACGTCATTAACAAGAACACTGCAGTAATGTATTTTACGCAGGTTTTGTTCGTAAATTCCATTTTAGCATCCACACCTACTTCATAGTTAATCGGATTTGTCGCAAAAAATCGGCAAGTTGTCATTTTTTTACACATTTAATTAGTTTTGTTCGGTAGTCGAAAAAATCCTGCAATAATATCTGTTACATACTTGGGAAACAACCTTGTACGTATTCCGAGGAAAAAATTGAAAAAAACAATTGGGTGTACTTCAAGGCAGTTTGCAGAAGGAGGTAAATATACCGGATGCACAAGGCGTTTGTTTTAAGTCGTGCCAAATTAGCTTTGCATAGAAGAGATCAATCATTTTTTGAATTTTGAATTAATTATCTGAAATACAGTTTAAAAAAAAGTTACCAGTATCTTTTTTATACAGAGAATCGATTTAGAACCAGCCTATAAAAATACTACACTGAAAAAATTAACTGTACTGCCTTTCCTTGTTTATTAAAATTATTCTACAGTTTCGCAGTTGCTGCCAAATGCTTGTACTGTGCGTTGCATACATACAAACATGTACATAATTATATTCAAGTGTAACATGTTTCTTCTGGCAATTTTTTTAGCGATATTCTTTCCTCGTCTGTTTTGAGAATGTTGATCTCAGTTCTCGTGGAAAAAAAGCTGTTTTTAACGGTTCGCTAGTCATAATACAATTACTACACCTCCACCTCTAATTAGTTTATTGTCGTTTAAATGCGGTGATTCACCATTTGGTCGCGGTTCGGTAATGGCAGGCATTATGCTAACGAACAGCACTTGTTAAATAGAGGTTTTTGTTGAAAAACTCTTTGTTTTATTGCAAATTACTACACCGATTAATCACAGAGGATTCGTGATACTTATTTTGTAATATTCGGTTATAAAGGAAGATAATTTTGAACCTGTCCCCAGATTTGTCTTGAACAGGTGAAAGACAAAAAAAATAAATAAAGAAACATTCCCCTTCATTCTCCAATCGGTTTTTCTCTTTTCACCCAATTCAGTAAAAATAATAAGTGAGAATGACGCAAATAAATAATTACATACTATACAGGGTGATAGGAGCGGCTGTATAAAAATTTAAAAAGTCAACAAGCAGAAAAAGTAATAAATTTTATATTTTTTTAAACTGCTCTAAAAAATGTAAAATATCTTTTCAGAGAAATAGATATATTTTTTAATTTTTAGGAAACTAGCCGTGCCACGATTATGCGTTAAAAAAATCTATTAACAAATACAGCCAAAAGAAATTGATATATTTTCAAGTTTGTAACATCAGCGCTAGGGGGCGCAACTGCTATAGTGTTACAAATAATTGTCGTTTTTTCGGAATTTCCCTTATATAACCTATGTTGAAAATACATTTTTTAAATACACTGTTAAACCCTTCACAAGTTTTGTATGAACTTTTTTTTTGTTATTTCCGTAGCAACGCCAATATGAAAGACGCCATCTTGAAATTTTAATGACGGCTCATTTTAAAGAACTATTAATAACATTTACATTTATGATACCGGAATAAAAATATTATTTTCCTGTGCAACGGTAGGCGACGGTAATCAGAAAAGTTTTTTAATTGTCTCCTTTTACTAAGAAAAATTAAATGCAACGAGGTAGGTTTTTTTCATGGTTTTATAGACCATTTATTAAGGAAAACAAATACACAAACCGGAGGTCGATATCTTCTTTCGTTTTCAAGTTAATGCTAAAATAGTAAAGTTGTGATAGAACATCCTCTTTAGGCGAGCGGTTCACCCCTTAAAAGATGTTTCTAATTGAAGGTAACCGACTAAATTTTTAAAACAAAAACCTACAGCATGAAACTTTTTATTTTATAAAGTGTATTTTTCTGATAATTTACATATTTTTTATATATTTTTCGGCGTGGTCAGTCAAATGTTATAAACAAGAAAGTTGTAAAAAAAATTATTCGCCGAATGGCTTTGAAAGTTTTTTATTGTAAAATGGACCAAAAATAAACCCTTTTTGTTCTTCGACAAAAATTCGAAAAATGCTTCGTTTCCGAGATATTTACTATTTAATGTGAAAAAAGTGACGAAATCGACAAACTTTCGAAATTTTTTTCTCAAAAACTACTGAACAGTTTAATTCTAAAAAAAAAGCATAATAATCGGCAGATCTTCTACTTTAAGATATATTTTTTTGGTGTAGGTCAATTATTTTATTGAAGGTCTAAAGCGAGTAAAAAACAGTCTTAAAGAAAATCACGATAAACATACGCATCAAAATGGCATAACATAATGTTATTAGGATATTTTTAATCGATATATAACAATAACATTTAATAATTCAATCCGCTAATGCGGAAATAACCATAATTTTTCCTACATTTATAATAATTAAATATAATTTCTACGAAAAATTGTAACTGTTTGTCATCGAACCTGGAATGCTGTACAGTCTGTGCGTGCTCAGGTGAATGTCAGAATGTTTCATCCGAAATTGATGATGAAACGCTTATTTCAACTCAAGAACTTGTCGAAAATTGCGAAAAACTTATTATTTAAAAATTAAATAAAAAAGAAATTAATATACTTTTAGTGACCTTAATATTTTTGTAAATTAAAAATAAAATAATTATCCTATACCTACAATAAATTATCCAATAACTTTCGAGATCGCTAGGTCAATTATTATTATTACGTTAATTTTACGATTTAAAAATCTTATTTAGTTTAATTTTGTATAACTTTCAAGTCAATTTTAGCCATTTATAAAACCAAAAATCGAATATGTATTTAAATTTTACTAATTACTTGCAAAAACCCTACTCCGGCTACAAAACCAAACAAAATGATATTTTGAACATTTGTACTGTTAACATATATCGATTAAAAAAATCATAATAATGTTTATTGTAAATTGTATAATGTAATCCAAAATATTGTAAAAAGAAAATTTAAATTTAAAGTGTTATCATAATTTTCTTTAAAAGACTTTTTTTACTCGCTTTAGACCTTCAATAAAATGATTGACCATTACCAAAATAATATGTCTTAAAGTAGGAAATCCCCCGATTATTATGTTTTTTTTAGAATTAAAATCTGTAGTAGTTTTTCAGAAAAAAATTCCGAAAATTGGTCGATTTCGTCATTTTTTTCACATCAAATTGTAAATATCTCGGAAACAAAGCATTTTTCGAATTTTTGTCAAAGAAGAACAATTGTGTATATTGTCCATTTTACAATAAAAAAACTGGCATTCGGCGAGTAATTTTTTTTTACAACTTTTTTGTTTTTAACAATTGACTGACCACGCCGAAAAATATAAAAAATATTAATATAAATATATATTATCAGAAAAATACACTAAAAATAAAAAAGTTTCATGCTCTAAGTTCATGCCTTTCTTTAGGGGTGAACCGCTCGCCTATTTATTTAGTTCTCTAAATAACATTGACATAATCCAGGCCAAAATTAAATTGTAAAACTATACCAAGCTAGTCTTTAAAAAAGTACTTGCTATATTTTGAAATTTCTTTTGACTGTATTTGTTAATTGATTTTTTACCACATAATATGCAGCCGCTCCGTACCGTTAATGGATCACCCTGTATATACTAACAATTGAAAAAAACACTTATATTTTCAAGTTATAAAAAACAATTGTTTTCTTGTACAGCCGTGGACAAAAAGGTTTGCCACCTAAAACCGCTAAAGTTGTTTAAAATACGGCTGGCAAAAAAATAATAAGCAGTTCCAGTAGGCAACTTTTTATCGTCCACAGCTGTATAATAAATTTTTAATATTTCGAAGTTAGTTTTCTGCAGTTCACAATCTTGATTTTCCGTTGCAGATTTCCCCGGCATGTGCTTCGCTTCCACCAGATGCGCCACCGTAGAACCGGGCAAGACCTGGGAGCTGCACCCCTTCTGCGGCCGCTCCACCTGCGTGGTGTCCGAAGACAAACCCCCACGTCTCTTGGAATTGGTTGAGGACTGCGGACCACTTCCCCTGGCCAACCCCAAGTGTAAACTCGACGAAGGTTAGTAGACACCTAGTTATGAGGAGTATTTCGTTAAAAACGAGGTCGCTTAGTCTAAAAAGTGTTTGAGGTTCAGTCCGAGGGCTTTGCATTGATTTTTATGTGTTGCCCTGCAGATAAGACCAACAAGACCGCCGCTTTCCCCGAATGCTGCCCCATCTTCACCTGCGAGGAGGGCGCCAAGCTGGAATACCCCGAGATCCCCACCGTGGCCCCAGTACCCGAAGACGCCTCAGCCGAAGCCTCGACCACCCCCAAGGCTTGAATGATTTTTTAATTCTTTACTAATTTATTCACTTTTTTTCTTTTTTTTTATTTGTTTTCGTTTTCTTCTCCCTCCCGTGATCCGCCCTCTTCCTTACTTTGCAGTTAAAATATTTGGCGTTAAAAAAAATGAGATCTGAGCATATTTATTTTTTCCGTCTTTAAACGCTGATCTTCAACTGTTTTACTCTACTCTGAACGCTTCATGAAATTTCTCTCTTAGTGATCGTAGTCGAACAACTAAAGTAGGTCTATAAAATGTGATACAATCTATTTTTTTTTATATGATTTTCCGGTTCATATTTTTATATTACAATTTTCTTGTGTGATTGTTTTTTTAATTATTTTTTTTTTTTGTAATCATGATTCGGAATAAATTTAATTTATTAAATTATATTTTTTTTTATTTATTTTTTGTTATTTTATTTTGTATTATTTTATTATTTTTATTATTTGCATTTTTTTTTGTTGTTTGATATACCTAAACTAGATTTCCTTGTGGGTGGTAGCTCCAGATGTATTTAAAAGCTTTTGGTAAGTAACAAGTATTTAAAAAATATACATACAGGTAGTATCAAAAATGTATGAAAAAAGCATGACAGTTTATGAAAATTCACACAGTTGTACCGTTTATAGGTCCGGATAGGGCTCCTGTATTGAAAAAGTACAACAGTTTGATGTTCTATTCCCAAAGCCAACATTTCTACCCAAAGCATATTCCCATTTTTCGGAAAAATAATTTCTTAAAATAGTGGTGTCAATACTTTTGTATCTTCCTATGCTGTCAAGATACCCTTGTTTTCTTTCAATTTTCACTATTGGAGAGAAAATTCTTATTTTAAAATTATATCAACATGTATCTCAAAAAAAATTTTTGGTTTAATTGGAATTAAAAAAAATGGATACAACTTTCGAAAAGCGGCATATCCTTTGACAGTTTTCGAGTTCCTTTCAGAAAATTTTCAAGCAGGTTTCAAATTGAACAAATTCATTTTTTGCTCTATTTTAAAGGTAGATATTAACCTAATTGAAAAATTCAAACAATTTTTTTAAAAATATTTTCAAAACAAAGACAAACAATGTTGTTCAATACTAGAAATCAAGGCATGCCGATATTGCAGGAAATGACTACTATATAACGTATAGGCCATGCCTCAACTAGCATTACATCAGCAATACTCGGTAAAATAGCTAGAAATAAATAATTATACAATATAAAAACTAAAAATGATGTCTAAATATAATTAATACAAAAACACATCTCCGATACAACGAAATTGCTAAATAATGCAAACGTTCAAAGAAATATCCTGTATTCTTGCTGTACTATTATCACCTTTCACAAAGACCAATCGTGTAAAAAAAATATCTACTACATAACGATCTTTTTATTTCCACACTTTATTTGGGATTGTTTCATCAAGTAACCTTCCTTATTGTATGGAATTGTAAATATTAGTAGAAAAAAAATGATATAGAGGGTGTTAGAAGTTTAACTGCCTTAATTAACAGACGATAGAATACATTAAAATATACAAAAAAACGTTATATGACATGGGTCCTAAACTCGACCATTTCCGAGAAAAAAAATTATCAAAATCTCCAACTTGATGTACAAAAGTTCGATTAATTAAGGAATATTGACATAACTGCGTCCATAGAACACCATGAAATACAATGTTTATCACTTTTTTTTAACTTCTTTATGCTTAATTCTAAATGATAATTAGCGTCGTAATAAATTTAAAATTCATATCGAGCAATGTGTCCAGCAATACGCAATTCAGTTGGTGTTGATATCTGGAATTGAACCGTGTTGGAGTGTTTTTTGCGTACCACTATTTCCTTTTCTTGAGGTGTTTTCCAGCGAATACGCGAAAATTGGATTCGAAGGTATCGTGCGTACATCGAAAATGGTGATGGACATTTTAAGCAAATGTTGTAGTTTGTTTTGTACTTGTGCGTTTAAAAATTACTGAATTTTGCTTTTTGGTAAGTACCTACCTAAATTATTTTTAATACGTATGATTATTTGGTTGGCGTGAATCTTTGGGTACTTTATTAATTACATATTTTTCAAATTCATAATTTGATTAAAAATTAAGTTCGTGTTTTAAGAGATTCATTAATATATATATATATTGATAATTACTAAAATTCGAGGTAAAATTTAAGCACAATACTATCTTCCTACTACAAAATCAATAGGTACATTTTATTTGATTTATTTAAAAACTGGAAAACAATTGTCTTGAAATTTTCTAAATACTTTCGCGGCAGACTTATCCTACGGAAAAAATGTAAACAACTATTGCTTACATTTTTTCCGTAGGACAAGTCTGACACGTCGTATGCACCAGCTGTGTAGTGTTAGGTTAAGCGCTGTTGTCACGTTGTCATGAAACTCCCCAATATTAATAGTCGCTGTATTTTGAAAACTGTTAATCTTACGCTCCTGTAATATACAACTTTTTTGTTAATTTGTGATTACTCTATCTCATGTTGAAGTAATGACAGTCAAACTTCTTACACCCTGTACAAAAATGATATTTTGAAACAAAAACTGAACATGTCCCTTTTACTACATTTTTTTAAGAAACATATTTTCAACAAATTTTTATTGACAGTGAAACAAAAATAGTTCTATTTCAGTTAAAGTTTTCATCCTTTCATTTAAGAGTACTTTAAATTTTTAAGTGTAGGCAGACCAAAATGTAATTTTTCCAAAGTTGGTAATGTTAAAGGTTTCTAACTTATTTCTACTGCTATTTTGATGCATTTTGTTGTTTTTTATATATTTTGAATGCTATTTGTCCTATTTTACTCTGATTGAGATTGATTGAGGCTGATTTGACATCTGGTTGTATTCTAAAACTGTTTGATTGATTCTAATCCTTTCTGAGGTAATTTCAGTGTAATTTGATATATTTTATAAAACTTTTAATTCGTTTCTGAAGGGTTCTAAGGCGAATTCGACGCATTGTCGCATTGTCAATATTATATGGGCATAATGCGCAGCGCCACCTATTGAAAATCGCTCAAACTACTTTTTAAACCTTTCCACTATTGTATCGAACATAAGTTTGAGCTCAATTGACCAAGCGGTATTCAAGTCCCTGAGTGACACACAGACTACCATTAATTTGTATGTATACAGGGTGTCTCATAATTTGCTGCCAACCCTGAACAGGCCTATTCTATGATCAAAACTAAGTAAAAAAGTTCATATGAACATGGGTCCGGAAATGCTTCCTAAGGGCACAGGGACCCATTGAAGAGGGAGGAATGGAAATCATTTTTTTGCAATATCTCTCAATCGCGTTGTGATAAATGAATGAAATTTGGTATACACAGCTAAATTTTGATGAGCAATTTGATGGACTAATCCATTTATTTCCACAAGGTCCATTGGGGTGGGTACGGGGGGGCCCTTGGTACTTTGCGTGTGTAACTTTTTCATCTTTGACTTTTTAACAAATTGGACAGCAAATTCCGTTTTCCCGAACTGTTTTACGTTAAAAAGGTACTCTTGTTTCAAATCGTTATCTTTAACGGTTTCTGAGAAAATCGCTCTTGAATTAATCCCACTTTGGTCAATTTCATAGTAATTTAAACAAAAAAAATTTTTTTGTTTAAATTTAATCTAATTTTAATAAAAAAATAATAATAAAAAATTAAATTAAATAAAAATTAATCCTTTAAATGGAAAAGAGAGGAAAGGAAAATTATTATTATTTTTTTTTGTTTAAATTACTATGAAATTGACCAAAGTGGGATTAATTCAAGAGCGATTTTCTCAGAAACCGTTAAAGATAACGATTTGAAACAAGAGTACCTTTTTAACGTAAAACAGTTCGGGAAAACGGAATTTGCTGTCCAATTTGTTAAAAAGTCAAAGATGAAAAAGTTACACACGCAAAGTACCAAGGGCCCCCCCGTACCCACCCCAATGGACCTTGTGGAAATAAATGGATTAGTCCATCAAATTGCTCATCAAAATTTAGCTGTGTATACCAAATTTCATTCATTTATCACAACGCGATTGAGAGATATTGCAAAAAAATGATTTCCATTCCTCCCTCTTCAATGGGTCCCTGTGCCCTTAGGAAGCATTTCCGGACCCATGTTCATATGAACTTTTTTACTTAGTTTTGATCATAGAATCGGCCTGATCAGGGTTGGCAGCTAATTATGAGACACCCTGTATATAGATTTGTAGGCTGTTTTGAGGTGTTTTCTTTATTTTGATATGATTTAACTTATTTGGTGACACATAAAGGTGATATCTGACATAATTTTTTTTACAATTTTCTTGCACTGGCTGTCCTCAAACAAAATCTGAAGGATTTGCCGATTTTCGGGATCTAAAAGACGCCTAAATCAGAAATATAAATGAGAAAAAATATCTAACTTGGAGAGGATGTTGAAAAATTTGAATTTGAAAAATTAAAGTTAAGTGACGTCCAGAAGAAATTGGAATAACAAGAACTGCGAGTATTCATGTGTTTCTGAATAAACCTAATAAATGTTACTTTTTATATTTAACAAGGATAATTTATTAAAAATTAATTTAGGAAATCCAAAGCGACTAAAATTGTTGTTTTTTGTACAAATATTCAATTAAAAAACTTAAATTTTTAAAAGCAATACGAGTATCATTTTAGCTTCAAGTAGTTGGCTCCCACTATATAACGTAATTGGCTCACCCTATATATGTAGTTATATATATGCAACTCTTTTAACACTCACTTGTAAGTCTGGTTGCCTAACTTTGGAATTTAATCTAAGAAACGAAAACTTTTCCATTTACATTCACAAGGTCTGTTACTAAAACTTAAAGAAACTGTTTTTATGACATCACAGTTATTAAAATGTATTTTTACATTCCGAGCGATACATTAAACATAAATATGAGCTCATTAATGCTATTGCAATAAGTAGATATCTTTTTTTTTTTAATAAAATGTGGATATTAAAAGCATGTAAAATAACGCATTTTTTATTTTCAGTTTGCGTACAACGCCTTGATCACGTATACTCTTAATGCCCATTTCCGTTACGTCACGGAAAATTATTAATTTTTCTCGGTATTAACGTAGGCAGTCCAGTATTCCGGAATTTCCCGAACCCGCAGCGATCGGACGAAAACGGAACGATTGCGCAGCCCCAATCCAAGCCGAACTGACATTTCTCATCAAAATGGCAGCCTAGAAGTGTGATTATAGAGAGTACAATCTGATCTTTGTTAAAAATGGCTAATATTATCGAAAGCGTTATTATCAGTGCCCAAGAAAGTGAAAATAGAGTTAACCAAGCAGCGATTCACGGGAAAATCGTTAAGAAAAAGTTTATAACAAAACACAGAACGTATCTTCAAACCGCAGGTTTGTTTAAAGGGAGAACCATCTGGTTTATGGACAATCGACATCGCCACGGCAAAAATTTGTGTATGTTGCATACGAGATCTATGTGTTGCGTCTAGATAGAAGAAATTAACGAAAAAATGTGGAGTATTGTGAATTCCATGGGTAACCCAGCCCATAACATGGGAGCGTACAAAAGCCAGAAGCGCGAGTTCAGCTTGAGCGTGGAAAAAGTTCCTATAGTCCCTGGAAAGACTTTTTCTAACCCAAACTTTGTGATAAAACATCATCCTAGCATACACAGCCACAGAAATAACTTCATTCCAATACCCGTCGAAAAATTCAGTCATACTGACAGTTCGAACACGAGCAGTAAGCCACAGAATACAAACAGCGCCTTGAAAAATTCTAGTCAAAGCCTAGTAGACACCCTTAAAAAGCACCACCTTGACACTATCAAAAGCCCCGAGATAGTTGAAACATCACCCGCACAACCAATGTGCAGCAAGAAACGGTCCAAAAGAAATCGTAAAAACAGGCGAAGGAGAACGCCTGATAAAAATACCAACACCAGAAACTACATAAAGGACATGATGGACGTAGAAATCGACTTGGACACGTCCCTCAGTTATACAGACATTTCCGTAAGCCCGAAGATGCCACACACCACCTTCAACTTGACTGATTTCATAGTAAATAAGCCCTGTAAAATTCCTAAAGCAGCGACATGTACAAATAACGAGTACGACACCGACGAGGATGAATTCGTGGCTACGATTATTTCAGTCTCCCCATCAAACGTTAATAGGGCCTGTATGAGGGAACGACAAGTGTCTGTATCCGAGTCAGAAGACAGCTTTATCGTGTTCAACGACAGGACTGATGAGGGACTTGAATCATCGGAAGAATCCGAGAGCGAGAGCGAGGATGAGTGGGAAGAGACAGAGGACGAGGGGGAAGACGAAGTCGATTTTGCTTCACCAGCAATACCGATCAAGAGGGTGAGTCGGTTATTTTTATTGTGTAGTTATTTGATTTTAATTTTTTTATGCTATTAAGCATCGAATGTCTCGCAGACATTTTTTTTTACATAAAAAGGGTATCTTGTTGATAGGCACAGACAAAACGTGATACTAAAGTAGAACGATTATATCGTTACATGTTTATGATATAAAGAAGGGTAGTATCTCGGGTAATATAATTGAAAAATGTTATGTACGAGGTTATGTAACATTTTCGTACAGATGAACTTCATAACGAATTATTGACAACATTTTTGGAATCTCTGTTTTTTAAGTAACTTTTTTCTGTAAATTGGAATGTACTTTTCCTGTTTTGTCGAGAATTTTGTAAAATTACCCCATCATTATAATTAATTATTGTATAATTGGCACAATGAAGAGATATTGTTTCTAAATTGCTTAGATTTTCTAAAACTCTCATCGAAAGGCTGCTATAAACTCACCGAAAATTACACAAAAATTTCACCATTTAGGAAATACAGAGGGAAATACTTTTGTCATTAAAGTTTGTAGAAGTTTTTACACAAAGAAATGGAGGAACATATTTCTTGTACAAATTTAAAAATATGTTCTTACATACACCTTTGTCTTCCTGGAATTCGAAAAATATTTTTAAATACGGGGGTTATTTTGAACGAGTGTATAAAATCATATGAAAAATGGTAAGAAATGTGCAAAAATGTTAAGAAAACAAAATTTATGCTGCAAAATTGATAGAGAAATACATTTTTTTCCAGTGGCATAATTTTTAGGAAAATAAACCCATCATAAGTCATACAGATGCTATTTTATTCATTTATTATCCAAACAAAATTCCGTTTCAATTTATTTCTTTAGATATTTCTATACATATAACTTTAAAGAATAAATAGTCCTTTATTTTTCGAACACCCTGTGTATCAATGATTTTTTGTCCTTTTTTCTAATTTAAAAAAACCGATGAAGTGGTATCAGACAGAAATTGTTTACGAGTAATTTAAACTTGAATTTAAATAAAAAAATACAAATTTGTGTATTACATAATATCCTTTTAAATATACATGATTTTCCTGAACATATAATTATTCCTGAATTTATTTACTAGGACATTGGTTAATAAATAACTTAATTTATAATATTTTTTTCAATTATGTTTTATTTTACGATTGTTTCATCTCCAGAAACATCATAGTTTATTTATTATAAAAAAAATTTGTAAATGTTAGGTCTAAAAAAGTATTCAACTACTTAATAAACAAAATATTTTAAAAATAATGTGAAACAAACTTCGGTCAAGTATTGTTTAAATTTTATGCAGCATATATTTTTATAAAATTTGAACAATGACCTACTTGACCAAAGTAAGTTTTAAAGTGTTTTTAAAATATTTTATTTAAGTAATTCAAAAACTTTTTTAGACCTAACATCTGGAAAATTTTTTCATAATGAATCACCTATGATGGTTTTTCTGAAGATGGGTTTAAATCGAAACAATATAAAATAAAACAAATTGAAAAAAATATAAACTACCCAAGTTATTTTATTGACCAATGTCCCAGTAAATAAATTCAGGCATACTTAATATCTTTATACCTACAGACCTAATTATTTCAAAATTAATATCTTGATTTTTTTTTAGATTTCATAAACCAAATTTGTTTTGGTTGCAAAGTAACATTGTCAAAGTATTTTTTTGCAATTGAGTTTTGCGTGAGTTTCATATTTTGATAGACTATTTTGAATGTTAAGATGGCTCACGACGCACTGTATAGTCATTTTTTTTAATGCAGAAGATTCTCTTGTGATATTTTAAAAATTTCTGTACGAGAATACTTATTCAGTTTCAATGTCAATAACTTATGTGAAGCAAACATGATAAAACAAAGAAAATACCTAAAAGTCCTTCTATTATGGCCAAGAAAAACAAAGCCAGTAAACAAACATGTTTTTAAAATTGCTTCAATAACAATAAATTCAGTCTGCAACAAGTTTTTATTTTGTATAAATTGCAGAGATTTTTAACAAACAGCACCACAGTGAACATTATCATTAGGCTGCTGTATTTTTTTGTATCCCAGTCCTAATTTTTTAGCTCTGTCAAAAATTTCAGTCATTTACATGCAAATGTAAATATTACTTTTGTTTTTGAGGCTCATCTTGTATCAGAAGTGACTGGGATTCTTTGTGATGTTTCCTACAATAACACCCTGTAGATATTACGCACATACATATTCTCGTCGATGCGTTGAATTCAAGTTAATCATCATTACGTCGTATACTAATAGTTACAGATGAGTCACGAAATGAAGCTCTGTTCTAAAAACAAATGTACATTTCCCGAAAAGACCGGAAACACTTAAAATTCCATGCAATATAAGTGTTAGATTTATTATGCCCATGCCCTTATCAGCTGTCTACTGATTGTATTGTGTGATATGCCTTAGGGATGTTATTGTTAGTTCAGTTGGCGAAGACTTAAAACATCGGGATTGTGGTCAGTTTCCATAAACCCCAAAAATTTTCTCACTTTGCTACGAATATGTCATGAAACAACACATTAAAATGCGCAAGCGTCATATAGTGAGGAAAAAAATGTTATTAACAATTTACGTCGCAGGGATTACTTTTTATCTGTTTTTATCCAATATCTCGGTTGTATCGCGCTTTGTCAAGAAAGTGCAGGAAATTATTTTTGTTCCAAAAGGAATTTTCTATAAGTTAGCATAGCAATTTACAAAAAATGACAAAAATCGATGTTTTTCTTAAAATTATTGCCAATTTTTTAAAAATTAATCAAATTTTATGAAACTTTCGAAAAATGCTTCTCAATTTATGACCTCTAGAAATTTGCTCATGGACAGGTGAGTCCTTGCTGAATTATTATCAATTATACGTCGTATTTACTTTGGAATTTGATTTTAAAGAGCGTTCAAGCAGTGTTAAAACTGTTTGTTATTGCAAACGGCTAAGTCCCCAAGTCGAGCCCCCCGCGTTTTTTTTTTTCGCAAAATTGTCGCCGCTAATCTCGAGTCGTTCTAATTAAGAACCGTACTTATCATTTTACATGTCTCTAATTGCTATTGTCGAATTTATTTTCCTGTATTTGTACATAAATGGCCTTTGTAATAATACTTAATACCTATCTAATCTAAGCACTCATTAAATTTTATGGCATATTTATTACTTAATTGATATCCAGGTACCTGAAAAATATATTACCTTCAGTTGATATAACATGTAATCAGCTTAATTTTAAGGTATTTAAATTGTTATTGAACTATTTAATGGCCTCTAGATGTTTCCCTGTCGTAAAAGTCTACAAGTAGACGTTATCAGAATTTTTGTGTTGTTTGTTACAATTGCTATGGTTCTCTATACGTATAGGGACTCTACATATGGGTATTTCACTGTACAATTGTACGGTTTCACGCCTTTCAAAATGATTTCATATACCCTTGGAACTTCCTGCCATACAGATTATAGAAACGTACAGTCAATAATAATAAAGTCAAATAGTAGAGTGATATATAAATATTTGTAATAGAATTGTTTTTTGTGCAGTATATTTTCCTGTTTGGATTTTTTAAACTTTACTGTAATGCGCATTGTTTTTTATTTATATTAAAGTCACTGTAATCCTTTGATCAAGTACAATGACTTGGCAGTTCTACTTTCCCTAATTTCGTGTAAAATCAAATAAAATTAAAAACGTGTCCGATTCGCGTACTGTTTATTTGCATAGGCGCCAGCTTTGTTTATTTATTTTCCAGATATATCTAATCAAACAATAAATAGGATAATTCCCTGTGTTTACTTGGCACATAAAATTATATTTGTTTCGAGTACTTTGACGTTTGGGATTACCCACTCTGAATATACAGGGCGACTCTTGTAAAAAGGGCGATAATTTTATAACCGTAAGTTGCCTCTACAGCTTAACCTAACTCGTCTTGCTCGCGAGATGCGCAGATCAAGAGAGTCCGCTATAGGAGCGATAAAGACGGGGGATGTACCTTCTGCGCAAAAATCCAGTAAATGTAGTTGTGTGAAACTCGTCGAAAATATTAATTTTATCAAGTTATGCACCGTGCCATTCTTTTTTTTGCGTGTCTTAAGAGACACACAAAAAATGTCATGTTCATATAAGCATGAACGAGGTATTTTCCAACATTTTAACCAAATCCGAAAATGGGAATCGGTTAGAAAAGTATGAGACTAGTGGTTTTTTCATTTTGACTTTATTTGAGTCCTAAAATCATCCAGAAAGTGTATAGTCCAGGCGGCAGAGCATTCGAGGCGTTTGTATTTGAAGTCGTCTATTTTATTGCACAGAATAATCCCAAATATTATGTAGAATTAGAGTCCGAGTTTGCCTATTCCAAAAAACCATTGTTAAATTCGGGAGAACAGCAAACATACAAAAAGAACGAGAAATTACCCGTTTTTCGACATATTTTTTCCTGTAACATTGAAAGTAAGTCGTCGTAAATAAAAAAAAGTAATTCTTTATTTTTTGTTTATTTGACGATTTTCTATAAAGCTATAACTGCGAATAAAAAAAGTTGAATTTTGCATTAACAGTGGGCGAAAATAATAGAAAATCATATGTATATTCGGAGCAATTTTTACAAATACAAATAGTCAATTCTACGATAAAATTTTTGCAACGATCGATCGCGTGGTTTTCGATTGACAGGATTGTTCATTAAGAAAATTTCAAAAAGTTTATCTCGTACCGTGGGTTTAAATTAAGGTTTAGAAAGGGGCACACAATTTTTTAGATATACGTGTTGTCATAATAAACAATGATCAATACTAAAAATATGTATTTTTACATTGTTATAACCATTTAGAATTTTTTTTTAACATTTTTCAACATTTTACGCTATAAACTATATTACACAGGTCAACAAGGGTCAAGAAGACGACACACTAATATGCATTCCCGAAGGATTTTGGTGCGCTGAATCCGAATCTGGCCGCAGGAGTGCTCTATCGCGTCAGGTTTTTGAGATATCCTAACCTAAATGTGCAAAAACACTGTTTTTTGTCATATTTGAGGTTATGTAGTAATGCCATCTATTCTTTTTCAAAAAACTAATACATTGAATCTAAAAGTACAAGGCTCCCTCCTTCGAATGTAAGCGTAAAATTAATAATAATTTATAGCTTACGTAATCGTGATGTGAATAGATGACTTCAAACAAAAACGTCAAATCCTACTTTTACTGTTCTATCACCTGGACTAAAATATAAAATCAATGCAGAATTCTCTTAACAGCTATACCATCTCTGCAGTTTGCCTCGCAGTCTGCCAACAAATATTTAGTGACTTTCCTAATTTTTCGTTTAAGAAAAGTATAAAATGTATATTTTTAAGAAACAAGCATTTTCATTTTCTTTGCGGTTGAAGAGAACTACTCCATTGTTGTAGCAAAACATTTGGAGCCGCCCCTGTCTTCGCGTCCCATTTTTCGAGTTGATCGTTTCGATATGTGGTTTCGTAAAGATAAGACATTGATAACAAGAACTGTTCCCTTAGCGCGCAAAGCCGTTTTAATTTATATCTAACTATCCAATCAAATGAATCGCCATGCACTGCGCAATATTTCGTTAATGTTACGTGATTAAAAGCACTTGTGGAAGCTTCGCTATCCAATAAGTTAAAGTTAAAGTACATAAGTTCTTATGTCCACAGATTTTGATGTTTGTGTACCAATAGAATTAACAAATTGCCTCTTTTCTGTATTTTCCTTAGTTTGTTAGAACAGAAAATCACAAAAAATTTGAAATGGTAAAAATCTGCTGCGCAATTATTATAAACTATAAAATCGTGCAACTAATTAATTATTTTTTCATTAAATTAGGTGCGAAAAGTTCGGGTTGCTCCTACAACAAACGGTTTTCGTGCTAGGGGGAAAAATAACGTATCTCCTTGCACTCAAATTCATGTCATCCCCCGAACGCTATTTTTTATTCTCGCCTTCCTTTTTGCGTCATTTAGCGATATTCTAATTGAGGACATTGTTCTACATGTATTAAGTTATCGGTGTAATTGTCGTTTGGGAATGACAGTTAAATTTTTATCGACCCACCACTTCACTTTCAAACGCAATCCGTTCGACTATTCCATCATTTTTCAATTTCCGTTTTTATTGAATTAATTTGTATATGTATAAGCGATAAGAGCGTAATCATTCCTGCATATTCTTTCCTTTATTAAAGCATGTCCCAGCTCCGTGTTTGTAATAATTACTTAGGCGTTTCGTTTTAAAGACGATAAATACAATGTGAATAGAAAACACGAAGGTTTATTTTAAATATGATCACGTTTTAAATATCATTCTTTGATTAATTATCATAATTATTTAGTTTTATTTACCTAATTCGTTTTTTGCTTAAATAAATTTTTATTTGATATAAAACACTGTAATTGGAAATAATTGCGATTTAGGGATTAAAAAAATACTGGTCGATTTTTTGCTGTTATTTTATGGTAAAGTTATTTTTAATTTATTACAATACGAATTATGAAAATTGTTCAAAGAGATGTTATATTAGGAAATTTTTATATGCCTATTACGGAATATTACCTGTTCCTTTTATATTTTGCCAATTTTTTGCTTTTCACTTACCTATTCATCAAAATTAATTCTCCAACGTGACTTCAGGGTCCACTTCATAAATTCTTCATTGTTATTATTGTTGTTAATTTTCTTGTTGGAACGTTTTACAAAAGATTACCTTGAAGTCGTTATGCTCGTAGTTACGAACAACTTTCTGTGCGTGTTTGCAAAGCAAAACGTGTGCTCTCTCATCGGTGTTTTATTGAATACATATCTTTTTTCTAAAGTCGTATTCAGTATTAGTTTTACCAGTAGCTACAATTTTTTTTCTCTTTCTCTACCTGTTAATATTAAGCAAGACCGTATTGGTTGAGATTGTCTCTTCTGTGAAACAATCTAGTACAATGTTTAGATTTTTTAAGGGGCGTTAGTTTGACATTTATGTGGAACATCATTAAGAAATTTGAACTGTATTAAATATATTTGAATAATCTTACCAGCAAACGACATTAGCATATATCTGTATGTATCATTAAAGTGTCTTACATTGTAGTCTCGTTGAAATATTACAGTTGTCAGTAAAAAGCAATAAAACGTGCCTTATTTCTTTATTTTTCCTATATCTTGTTTCTTTATCTGCAATTTTTCTCCACTTAAGGCCATATATTAGTGTTGTTCCATTGTTTAAGCATGCAATGTGATGACACAGATGGTAACTTCAACCTAGTGGCCACTTAGGCATATTTTTCTTCTAAAGTAACCCAAACTGTTTGTTATCAACCGTATATGAGGGCACTAGTATCAAAGGCGGCAATCTCCACTTTTTGACGAAATCGAGTTAAATACATGATATTTTTCGGTTTTTCGCGCTCTGTCTAAATATATGGTTTGCAATTATCAAAAGCGGCTGTATCCCATTACAAAACTGCATTAAAACATCACGTGAGAATCAAATCCGGCAATCTCCATTACCCGCTTAGAATCAGAGTCGGCAATATCCGTTTTGGCCAATCAGATGGCTCACAGCGAACATATGACGTGACGTGACACGACATGCTGTTTCAGATAGTTATGAATTTATTATTATTTAGTTAGTTTTTTTTTTATTTTTGATTATACGTTTTGTTGAATTAATTTTAATATTTTATTCTTTTGTCCGTAAGTCCATTCCAAAATACTTGGTATTTATTTTTCAACTCATTTTAGTGCAACCTTTGGTAACAAATCTTTCAAAATCCAACTGTTGGTATCAAACACGGCATTCTCCATTTATTTTTGTACATTTTTTCAGAAAATATAAAAAATTTAGGTACATTAACCTGAAAATCTAATGTAGTTTAGCATTTTCTTTCATTGGAAACTATGCTTCCTTTGAATTAAGCAGTAATAAGAGTGTAGCAGTTTTTTGCGCTTTAACAAAAAGTGGAAATGGTGGAGATTGCCGCCTTTGATACTAGGGCTCTCATATATGGAATATTAATAAAAATACCCTGCACGGCAGCTGTAATATTTGTTTTTTATGCATTTGACTTACCAACTTAAAATTATTTAACAAATACATTATATAGCTGCTTATTTTTATTGCACCTTATTACGGCATTTGAAACAATGGATATATGTGTACAATTGTAACGGTGACAAAGAGATTGATTGTTTTTTATTATTTTTTTTATTACTTCATTCATGAGAAAATTGTGACGGTTTTAAGTTAGTATTGAAACAATATTTATTTCTTAATGTTATATTTATATTAGATCGCCTAGATTAGAGTGAATAAAAAAGTTGTTCAATGTCGACTACTTTCCAGATACTGTGTTACGACTGTAAATATATTCAAATGTACATATTACAGGTTTTTTTTTCGCAATGTTTTGCTGATCCCTTTACATGGAGTGATACAGGATATTAATGACATTCGAGAGAATAACGGAGGGAGTGACATCTATTATATAAATTTTAAATCTGTTAGAGGGAAAATTTTTAGTTTTGTATTATTTTCCTTTTAGCCGTATTGTTAACTGCATTAAAAAAAATTTGTTGAATGATGGTTTATTTCTAATATGAAGAGCAGTAGCAAGTGAAAAAGACATCGTCTAGTGTTGCAGTACAACAATAACTTTTTTAACCTTGCCCTTTTCACTAAATTTCTTTTTTAAATTATGTATTTCGCTATTAGCTCTTGTGCTTTTTTTTAGAAGAGAATAGTAAAAGTAGTTTTATATAGAATTTAAAGAAACAAAATCCTCATATGGAAAAATAATTCCTAAAATGCAAAAATATCTGAGATCTTTCTATCATGGCTACTTTTTTCTGTTATTCCTATTTCAGTTATACGGAACTGTTATTTTACTTTCTTAAGGAAGAAAAATATGAAAATATGCTTCTCAACTATGTGTTAATAATCAAACTACTGGATTTGTTCAGTTTAAGTGAATTAAACTTGATCTTGTGAACTTTATTTTATGATTCTTCTACTACGTGTATAGCACAGTAGACAAAGGACTACCTTTTAAAACTTGGAGGATTATAAAAATCAAATCGGCAAGCTTCGATCATCAAAATAATCTGATTGTGTATTTTAGAATTCAGTAAAATGGGCAAATATTTTTTTAGATAGAAATTCAAACTATCATTTTTTTATAAAATTTAATATTTATATACAATTTTTTTCTGTTAATATTTGTTAATTCCATACGGGAAAGGACCCGATGAAATAATCCCAAGTAAAATGTGGCAACAAAATGATGTCTCTGTAGTAACTATTTTTTTACGTGTTTGTGAAGTGTGACACTAGAATAGCATGAATACAGGATATTTCTTTGATTGTGTTACTTAATGGTACCAATATACAGGGTGTCCACACTTATCGGCGCACTATTGCTAACTCCCTTATTATTGGAGATACAAAAATCAATTAAATTAGCAAACTAGTAGCATTTTTTCCATCCATTCTAATGATGCAATCGAAAAAACAATTGAGCATCGCGTTTTCATAATTTTTTAAAAAACTTGTTTTTTTAATGGAACACTGTGTATATTTACATATTTTAAAAAAAAAGGGACGTTGTGGACAAAAAATATTAATACATAACTCTCTTCAATTGAAAAATGAATGAAAAATAGGCATCTGAAGTTTATCACATTTATTTCAATGAAATGCATGTCGGTAAAATTGTTTAATTTGACATTGTCGTAGTATAATTCAATGCTAGATGGACAATGTACCCCCTAGAGTACTTACATAGTTGTCTCCTGCAATAGCAGCAGTTACAGTTAAATTTCTGACATTGAAGAACATTAACTTTGTTTGATAAAGATTTTTTTAATTTGTTGAAATCAGCTGAATACATTTAAAATAGAGTAAAAAAACTCAACCCGCCTCTACATTCTTGCAGGTCAGATTTGCCGGAGACGAGGAACTCTGCCAGGTCCACAACATGGTGCAGTGGTCCTTCGCGTACCAGCAGGCGAGAAAGGGGCCCTGGGAGGAGTACGCGCGGGACAGGGACAGATTCAGCAGGAAAGTGGCGGATATCGAGAAGATACTGACGCCCGTGTTCGATGCAGCTCACAGGAGCAAGGTGTATCGGGAACGGTTCAAAGATAGAACTTTTAAAAAGTAAACTTGTGGGGTGTTTCCTCAGCCGGGGTCGGTATCGTTGCAATGTTGGGAAAAGTATTTCACAATGTTACTTACTCTCCTTACGATTTAATTGAAATGTTGCTTAGTCATCCGGCGAGTCGCATCTCTGTGAAATTGGATTTCTTTGTTGTGAAATGTGGGCACGGTACCGACCTCATTTAGATCAAGGCTGTGATCTGTAGTTAAATTATACAAATATCTTCAATCTACTTCAAATCAATTCGAACAGAGAATATATTACATCTTCTGCTGTGATAATTTTTGTACAAAAATAGGGTAGTGTTAAAGATCTGACGACATAAGCCTTTGGCGAAATCCGATGTAAGTAGTCATTTTGTTTCGCGTTTATCTTTACAATGACTTTCCGTTTTTTATAATGCTTGATCATTTGAAGTACGTTGAATTTATTTTATCTGTTTTTTTTTATTCCTATTATTTAAATTCTGTGGACTTTGCAGTCGATAGCACTTAATTCTCAGATATTTCTATCTAGAGATATATTTTTATTTTTGGATGACCTTATCTTTCTAGCACCTAGTTTTAATTTAACTTCTATTCTTTATTTATTCGAAAAAGCTATTTTCCTGCATTGTTATATTAAGTCTTGCCTATTTCATCATATATAGGGTGTTTACGGGGCAAAGTACAATGAAAAAATAGACAATTTTTAATATTCACAAATATATGTGAAATTTTTTAAGTATCATTTTACTGTGGACACACTGTATGTGCAAGTAAAAGGTGTTTTTGGGGGTAGCATAATTTTTTTTTGGCAACAGCAACAGATTCCTTATTAGTGGTTGGGGAAAATTGTTTAGGGTTTTCGTTAGCTTTCAGAATTTTTTAAAGCTCTTCCAACAATGCAATTTTATTTGGTGCTTTTGTATATACTTAATGTGTATTATATAGCGTAACGGATATATATGTATGAGTGGGCCAGTTTTGACATTTGGGGGACAATTTTTATTTCATCATCAATTTAAAATATTGAAGAAAAATAAAATTTTCCCATTTGTCTACAACAAATTAAGATATTTTGTTTTGGAAAATAAGTAATAAAATTGGTCCATTCTATTAATGTTTATGAATTTTATATGTCATTAATAAAATATTTCAAAACGTAATTTTGGTGGTATTATTTTTGAACATAAATGAACCGACTTGATCTTGTACAACCTTTACAAAGTTTTGGCATCTCGTTTTTGATTTTATATTAAATATGGCTAAATTTTGGCCACTCCTGATCAAAATTGATTTTGGCCACCCCTTGCAATATCTTGGCCAGCTCTAATAAAATTAATTTTTAGACAGCCTTAAAATCTTGTACATATCTACTTCGATTTAATTTTGGAGACCTTGCTGCAACTAATTCTGACACTAAGTACCTTTGGTTTTGGTCACCCCTAAATAATTACGGACACCCTCGATTTTATTTCATTTTGGACATCCCTAGAAATTCTTTATATCCACGAGTAAATTTTATTTTGGATAAGCTCGGTTTTGGACATCCCCGATTAAATGGTTTTTTGGACACCCCTGATCGTATTTAAACTCAGTTCTGGACACCCCTAGTCAAGATACTATATTGAACACTACTGATAAAATTTAAGTAACCTCATTTTTACATCCACGAGTTAATTTTATTTTGGATAAGCTCGGTTTTGGACAGCCCTGATCGCATTTAAACAAGCTCAATTTTGGACGCCGCTTATCAAAAGTAATAAATATTGAACACCACTGATAAAATTTAAGCAACCCCATTTGGGCACTTCCGATTAAAAGTACTTTTCTGCACAACAGATGGCGCCACTTACATCTCACGGACAAACATTGCCCAAAGGTTTATTATGACCCATAATATGGAATTGAACTGTCAGTAACTCTTTTGTCATGATGGGGGGGAGGTTTCATATTTCTATGAAATAATTATCTCTTGTAAAACAATATTATTGTACTAGAATTACTAGATTTACATATAGCAAATTCAAAGATTATTGTGGTACCCACCCACTACCCTGGCTAAACCATCTTTAGGTTCATAATTTTACGTTCAACTTATGTCGGTGAGATATATGTGCTGCCATCTATCGGATCATTTTGAACCTTGAACACTCCTCATTGCTACCTGCTTTGGACACCCCTGGTTAGGGGTAATTTTGGTCACTTTTGATGAGATTAAAATGTAATTTTGGTCACCCTTATAAAAATTTAAGCAAACTGGATTTTAGACACCCCTTATTAGATAGATGTAATTTTGGATAGCCCTGATTGTATTAAACAAACTCGGATTTGGACACCCCTGATCAAAAAAGTACTTTTTGTCACAATAGATGGCGCCACTTACATCTCATGGACATACATTGCCTGAAGGTTTATTAAGACCCACCATATGAAATTGAACCATCAGTAACTCTTGTCAAGAAGGGGGGGAGCCGGGAGGTTTCATATTTCTGTGAAATGATCTCTTAAAACGTTACTATTATACACTAGATTAACTTAATAATATAGCAAACTCAAAGATTGTCGTGGTAGTCAAGATGGTTGCTGTCTGACCTCCCACCCAAGCTATACCATCTTTGGGTTCATAATATTACGTTCAACTTATGTCTGCGAGATATATGTGCTGCCATCTATCAGATCATTTTGAACTTGTAACTATAAAATATTTTGCAACATTTACCCGAATTATTCAAATATATAACTCTTATGTACTAGACAGATGGCTTCACTATAAAATATAAGCAAACTTAGTTTTGGACACCCCCCCCCATTGCATTTAAAAAAAAATCTGTTTTTGGACACCCCTGATAAAATTAAAGCAAACTAGATTTTGGACACCCTATATTAAATGTAATTTTGGTCACCCCTATAGACTTTACGCAATTCAATTTTGTTCACCCGCCATTAAATGTAATTTTGGTCACCCCTGATAAAATCAAAGCAACTATATTTTGGACACCCTTGATTAAATGTAACTGGTCACCCCTTCTACAATTTAAGCAAACTCTATTTTGTATACCCCTGATAAGATGCATTTTTGGGCACCCCTGGTAATATTTTGGACACCCACCGGAGAGGAAAAATAAAACAAATGGGAAAGCTATTATTTTATAATGAATAATTTTATATTTTACAAATATATTACAATTTTACACTGACTTATTCAGAGCAGTACAGAAAAAAATGTTAATGTTACACAGGGTGTTTCCCAAGCACGCGTAGGGAGGATTTCTGCCGGAGTTGGGCCGGAAGCATTATTAAATCACGACGTACGAAATGAGCTTCCACGTTTCTTTACGTAAATAGAAAACGCCCCGTTTATAACACTTAAACACCTGTCTAAAGTTTTAAATGTTACATTTTTAGGAAAGAGGAAACAACCAGGACATCCTTAATATCTCTGATCACGATTTTGCTGTAAATATCACACACCTGAGTAAAAAAAATATACAGGGTGTAAGAATTACTGCCGGAAACTAATAATTATTTCACCCCCCCCCGCCTTCCCCATTATTTTTGTGTTAAATACTAGAATGGCCAAATTTGCTTAGTAAAATTGTATAAATAAAAAAATAGGCCAATTTTAAAAATCACAAGTTTCCAACCTATCTTTTAAAAAAAAATTATGATAATGATGACAGAAAATACCAAGTATTATCGTGGTTGCTTCCTTTACAGTCACACCTCACATACGCACATTTAGGCTTAACGTCATGCACAACGAAACAATATAATAATGAAGTAGATGTAAACTGGGGAAGACTTCGCAGCAATAACCACCGCGCACATACCCATACGAAAATTTCAAAGGTGGAAAAAATCAACAGTTGCAGTGATTTTTCTAAGCTTCTAAGTGAATCCAATGTGTTTGATGAATTTTGTTTTCTCAATCGAGAAATTTTAAAGGCTCCCGCGGAATCCTTATGGAAAGTGGTTTTCGTCCTTTATTATGAAAAACCTAATCGAAAACGTACGTTTCGAGTTCCAATTTCGTAATCGACGAATTAACTTGAGTTTCGTACATGCACGAGTTATTGATGCGACACCTTCCTACATATTAGTAGATAATATACAGATATTGGAATGTATAATATAAAAAATCGTATAAATAAAAGGAGCTATGTAAATTCCATGATACATACTTCAGTCAATTACCATTTTAATTATATAAATATATATATATATAAAAAGAATCTTGTTTTTTTAAGTAAATACAATAATTAGGCGTATGTATACATTATTACGTTTTGAGCAGTATAAAAAAATTAAGTACAATTACAAGTTACATATAAATATTCCGATTGTACATATTCTTTATATAAAAGTTCAGCGGGACAGTTATGAAACACCGGGAGCTATTTGCAAAATTCAACGCCCAATATACCTTCCTTTTTTTCCATCGGAGAATTTCCAAAAAAAAAAAAGAAAAACCAAATATCACACCGAATATGATTGTATCAGCATTAAATTTAAATTTCGATTTACAGTAATTCCCCACTCAAATAAAATTAGCATTTTAAAAAACACTGAATTATTGCTATCCTCTTTTAAGGTAAATGCATATTTAGAATTATTTTAGACAAACAGTCTTTAATATAGTGTTTAAAACTACGGACAAATGTTACACTGACTCTATCTAAAAAATCTTTAATATCCTCAAAAAGAGTCCCGACGGACACCTCCGCACCGACCATCGTACTCCGCCATTTCTTCCACGATTTCAAAACGGAACGCAATAAATATTTATAATATTCAACTTGATATGTGGAAAAATAACGTATTTTGATTATACTTCATCGTAAACGAATTTTTTTGGTGTTTCGCCCTTCACTTTGTTTATTCTTCGAAAACTCAAAACCCCACGGAGCCTCAGGTTAATCACCGAATTAAAAACAAAAATCATATACAGGGTGTCCCAATTCGCAGATGTGTCAGCCGTCGACGTAACGTAAGGTTTTTTTTATTAATTAGATCTTAATAACGCGCATATTAGAAGTAGATTATTAGTTGCGGAAGAAAGAGTTTAAATTGTTCGTAATTTAAAATTAATTCAGACAAAATCAAATCAATTCAAAATGCAACAAGTTTTTTTTTAGAGTAAATTATAATTTTAATAGTTCCATTTCGTTTTTGAACCGAACATAAAAACTCTTGTCTACGCGATTACTGGGCAGCACCAGACATAACAGCAGATTGCGTTAGTTATGTTTGGGATAGCTAAGTGACAATCCGGGGTGAGTTTGTCTGCATCAGGTCATTTGAGGATTAATTCAAGGTTATTTAAAGATCAAACCAAGAAAAAAACGAGAAATCGATTACCATTTTTGAAGTCTGAGTTTGAATCCAAGATACGTTTATATGTATCAACGAAGGTTTAAGGTCATTCCAAGGTTGATTTGAGAAAAAAGACGTTTTCTGGTAGGATTAGTGACGGGCGATTTTGAACCCCTGTATTTCACCGAATCTTGTTGGAAACTAAAAACTGAACTGACCATATCAACCCAAATACTTCACAAAAACTTATATTTCCTCATACCAACCCAGAAATCCTTTTTCTCAAATCAACCTTGGAATAACCTTGAACCTTTATTAATAGTGATAAATGGACCTCGGATTTAAACTCAGCGACTATAAGAATGGTAATTGATTCCAGGGTTTATTCCATAAACTAACTTTCAAATGACCTTAAAATGGCCTTCAAACGACCCGGTACAGACAAACTGAACTCAGATTTGAACTCGGCAACTCCAAATATGTGTAAAATAGGCGGTTAGACTTGATTGTTCAGTTTTTTTCAATTTAACCTTGAAATGACCTTGAGATGACCTTTAAATGAGCTGATACAGACAACATGACCTCGGATTCGAATTCAGCGACCCCAAAATCATGTATAGCATATGGTCAGACTTGACTGCTCGGCTTTTCCTCAATTTGACCTTGAAATAACCTTGAAATGGCCTGATACAGACAAACTAACCTCCGATTAAAATTCAGCGACCCAAAAAACCTAAACTCCGAGATCCTTTGATTTAATGCACTTTTTTTCAATATGACCTTTAATTGACCTTGATCCTGACTAGGAGGGAGGATGGAATCGATTACTTTTCTTATTTTTGGCCAAGAACGAAGGGTTCCGTAAACCGGCTGAATTGACCCTCCCCCTTTTCATGTTTTTTTTTTAACTATTGCACGATTTATTAAGTAACAATACCAATAATTTGTTTTAAAATAATTATTTTTGATACTTTATAAATTGTGCATATTAAAGATTAATTAGAAATCTGATAGATTTGAAATATTTTTTTTTGAAGCACTTTGTTCACTATTTGGTGAATACCCCTGATGTGAAACGACAACGAGGCGATGGGACGTCAAAAACAAACTGTATATAAAATTGTGTTGGTAGATTTCGATTTTTCAAAAACTGGCGCCTAAAAAAATCGTAGCAGGATCAAAAATTAGCAATTTCGAGAAAGTTATGGTTTTCGAACCCGTGCGTTCGTAGGCAACGTTTCATTTGTTTTTTATTTATCGTCTCGACGGGCCTAGCCCCTGCAAATTGGGACTCGCTGTGGCGTTGAAAACCACCTAGAGACTCCGTGTACCGTGAAATAAAACGAGGCCTAAACACGCCCCTCCCACGTTATGGCAATAAATATCGACAATACCAAAAAAAAAAAAAGCAGAGAGTTAGTAATAGAGTAAAACTTAACTAACGCGCGTACACGTACAACATCATAAGCGAAAAATATATATGTATACGAAAATCACATAAAAATCTCAATATCGAAAAAGAAAAGGGGAAACGAAACGCTTCTCAGTCCGTTCGCATTTTGATTTGTTCGGATAGGATAATAAATAAAGCAAAGCTGCCACGATTCAAGTATACTAGAAAGTCACTGGTTTACCCCGACGCGCGCGCGAGTTCGGTCCTCACTCCAACGATTTTTTAAAAAAAAATTAGTCCGTCTCCGTCTCACCGTCATTAGACCAAGAACCCCTCCGAGCCGTTGACCCGTATCTGCGCCCTGATGTTCTGCACGCTGTTCATGATCTTCTTCTGGTGGCCGACGAGGGTGATGCCCAGCTCAGTCAGTTCCTTCACCGTCAGGTTGACGACGGCGTCCATGGTGTTGATGCCGCCGGCGTGGAAGTTCTCCAGGTACCGCGCCATCTTGATGGAGTTGAGCCACTCCTCCACCGACGTGAAGTTGGTCAGGTCGGGGGCGTCCGCCGACAGGGGGTTGGTGGAACTGGAAGTTTAAATAGACGGGATTGGTTTTTACGAGGATTTGACGATTTGTGTAAAGGGATAAATTAATATTCGTTATTTTATAAAAAAAAGCCTGACAATTGAACCGTTCACAACTTGTGTGAGTATAAAACTAGCACCAAAAGAGTTCCGTTCACAAAAAAAACAAAAAAATCAATCCTCAAATTTTTCAGTGTTTTGAAAATATTTGAGGAAAAATTTTAGAGAATTTTGAATCGAACATTGTGTCTCATTGTAAGTGAGTACTTTTCACTAATGGCCAAGGGAAATTTTCAATTTATTTTGTGTTGTTCTATCGTCATAAAAATTTAGCTGAACTATTTCAGACACCCTGTATAGTACCCCAGATATATTTTTTTTCCCCGTATATTTTTTAAATGAAGTACAGAGTACAGGTGTCAAAATTTATGTTTTGCAACGAAAATAATGGTCAATTCATTTTTAAATAAGTGATTTAGAGAAAAAAAAAATTGCGGAAAATTTTTAGAAAATCTATATAACTTTCTGAGGTTTCAATATTTAGCATCAAACGTATCATTTTATAGGTTTTTATAGGGTGAACATTACGGATTAATTATGCGCTTTTTAATATTTTCCAGGAAAATCCGTTTTCTTTGAAATTTTTTTGCTACAGTGATGAAGCAGTTTTACATAAGAAACCTGGATATGGAAGTCCATAAAAAATTGTTAAAAATAATAAATAAATAAAGTTGTTTTTAATTATAAATAAATAAAAAAATTATATTGATATAATTTTTTTTATTGTAAGTGCTTATTTTTTAATATTCAAAGTAAATGAAAAAATTCAAAGAAAACAGATCTATCTGCAAAATATTAAAAAGCGCATATTAATTTGTAATGTACACCCTCGAAAACCTTTAAACGATACGTTTGATGCTCATAAATATTAAAACCTTGGAAAATTGTATGAGTTTCGTAGAATTTAAAAATGAATTGACCATTATTTTCGCTTCAAAACATAAATTTTCACATCTATACTTCATTTAAAAAATATCTATGGGAAAACTATTGGGAAAAACAAAATTTTTCATGGAGCAATTTTGTAAGAAATTTAATTATGTACAACTTTTATCTCTTTTTTTAAAAAAACTGCAACTTCATTACTGCCATATAGGCAGTTCTTTGACAAAATACGCGAAAAATCATATACAGGGTGATTCAACAATGGCGACCAAAAATGAAACCTCGTATTCTTTGGTGAATTTTAAGGGGAGTCTTTCCTATAGTTTTTATCTAGGACGCTTCGTTAAAAAGATGCAAGGTGTTAAACTTCAAAAAATATTTTTAATTTTTTTAAATAACAAAAACTAGTAAGTGAAATAATTTTAAATTGGGCACAGGTATTTATGGGGGCATTCCACGACAAATCGACCACTTTTAACCCTAACCACTTTCGATTTGGCTGAAACATTTTTATTATTTTCTATCCTATTGAAAACCTCTTGAGAATTTTTTTAAATAACCATAACTTTTTCAAAAAAAATAGATGTAACTTATCTGGGCCTAACTTCACTGTTTTTTTTTCAATTTTCGAAAAAGAACGAAAATTTCTAGATTACCATTTTTGATTTTTTTTTTCTTTCTTATAAAAAACTGACAATTTTTATAAATCCTCAAATTTTTTCAGTGGTTTCTTCGTTTTTAATTTTTTTTATTGATTGAAAAAACATTTTTTTTCAAATTTACATTCAAAAACAAAGAAAATGAAAAAAAAAGTTGTTGGTCCATTTTTGGACGAACAATGGGCTTTGAAAAATATTTCAACTCCAAATTTAATATTTTATAATCAGAATGCCTTCGTAGTACAGTTTATTGAATATCTTAATCTTTCACATACAATATTTTGAATCTAATATTTTTTATTTTCTAGCACGTTTAAATAATTTAGTCTTTATTCGTTCGAATTTGAAAAATCTTTGACCATGAGGCAACCATCTTGGTCAGGTATAACACAGGGCACTTTTTGAGTTCCAATGATAGATTTCGTTTTTGCAAATTGATCTACTAAATTTTCATTCGCTTCATTATACTTTTAATCAAAGGTGAAAATTTAATTGTAATGGCAATCAATTTCAAAAAGTCAAAAGAGGATGGTTTCAAAATGATTTATTTGAGTTCAAATGCATTGCACGTCTTTTTTTAAAGCTCACTGTTCGTCCAAAAATGGACCAAATAACAATTTTTTTTTTAATTTTTTTTGTTTTTGGATGGTTTTCGGAAAAAAAATCCAAAAAAATTATTCAAAACGATCTATTTTTTTCTTCTTTTCTTATTTTCTTAAATGGTGTTGTGAAACAAACTAAATTTGAAAAAAAATAATTTATCAATAAGAAAAAATAAAAAACGAAAAAACAAAAAAATTTTCAAAAATGGTAATCATCGAGAAATTTTCGTTTTTTATTTGAAAATTGAAAAAAAATTGTAGATAGGTCCAGATAATTTTGATATTTTTTTTCAAAAAGTACATTTAAAAACAAAAATTTTGAAAAAAAGAGTATCGATAACCCAATTTTTGAAAAAGTTATGGTTATTTAAAAAAATATATATATTTTTTTCAAAAATTCATCTCTTTTTGAGTTGGCTGAAAAAATTTGAAAAATTCTCAGGTTCTCAGAGGTTTCCAATGGGGTAGAAAACAATAAAAAAGTTTCAGCCAAATCGAAAGGGGTCGGGGTTAAAAGTGGTTGATTTGGCGTGAAATGCCCCTTATGTAGACATTGTCCAAAATTTGAGGACTTTTCCTAAAACTTTCATGCTCCAGTGGCGGAGATACAGGGTATCAGTGGTAAATTCTATAAAAATGTATTGCTGGTTGCCTATTTGCTATAGAGCCCTCTTAATACTTCATAAAGTTGCGTAGTAAAAAGAAAAAAACAATAAAATTATAAATTGAAGTATTATAATATCCAATGAACGGAACTCAACGTATTTACGCATTACTGTTCATAAAATATTGGCAGCATAAAAATTTCACCTTAAAAAAAAATTATTAGACTTCGTATGCAATGTAACAATTGGTAAAAAAAAAACGATACATTTCGCAAAAAATCGCACACCTACCAAAACGCCCGTACTACCCTTTTCAATTAAAAGCGTTCCAACAGGCATACGTGTTAATTCGCATCAAGGAGCTAGACGATTCGGCGAAGTTAGTAACAAAAGCTTACGGTAACATGTTAGAGTGGCTCGAGCATGCAGGGAATTAAAAAAAAAAACAAGCAGACAAATACCTTTGCAAACAAAAACCAGAGAAAGCATATTTACACATTAACAAAATTGACCCAAGCTGCCCCGGTCTGTGCGTTATTCCTATCCTCTACAGTGTCGATTGTGTCGCCCCCCTCACCCTCCACCCTATTATACAGGTTATCAGAACTGTCCGGCACGTCGGAATCGTCCCTGAAGTTGTCGGAGAACCGCTCGCTCAGCTCCAGCAGGTTCGAATTGTTCTCGTCCAGGGACACCTCCGAGAAGAACCGATCGGGCCTCCGGCTGAACTCGTCGTCGAACAGCGCGCCGGGTTTCTTCCCGAAAAAATTCTCCGTCTCTTGATCATACTCGTCTCTTTCGTCGAAAACGAAGCACGAAGGTTCTTTATTCTCGGATCGGTTCTGCATCTCCATGAAATTCCCGTCTACGTTGGGGTACAAATGCGTCTGGTTGAAAAAATTCAAGGGTTTCCGGCCGCTGGGGCACTGCCTGCCCCGTTCGGCGAAATTATTCTCTTTCGGCTGATCCTCCACGTCCTCCCTCAAGTTCAACATGCTGTTGAACTGCTTCTTCATCTCGTGCACCATCAACGAGTTGTGGTACTCGTTGCGCAACCGTTGATGGAGCTGCAGATCGTCCGGTACCAGCCAGTTACCCTGCGGCATCACGCCGTAGTTCTGCAGGAGGATCACGTCGGGCAGGCCGTAATAGGGGTGCGTATCGGCACCAATGATGTTCGGGGTGTACTTGGGCCTGCGCTGGAGGGACCCGAAGTACGGGTTCTGAGAGAGTTGCGCCAGGGACACGGGTACGGACAGTTCTGACAGCTGTATGTCGTGTGTCGGGTGAGAGGGTGGGTTTTGTTGAGGCCAGGGGGGGTTATATGGCAGTGGATGTCTAGAATGAGTCGAAACAAAAAAAAAAAATAGAATGAGGTGTGAGCGTGTTAAAAGCGTGACGTTTGAACGAGAAAATTGTGAGGTTTCGGATTTCGAGAATTGTCTTCAATTCAATTCAGTCTAAAATGTAAAATTGTAAAATTACATATTTTTTAAACTACTACAACTGTAAATTTAAAGTAATATTGTAAAATTGACATTTACTGTGTAAAATTTACAATCTCTATACAATTTTTTTTAATAATGGTTTTAAATGCAAAAATTACATTTTACAATTTGTAAAATTACAGTTTCGTAATGTAAATGATTTAAATAAAGCTGTAGAATTATACCCAGAGGTTAGGTCGTAATGATTTTAAAATACAAAATTTTAAAATTGCATATTTTTTTAATTACTACAATTGTAAATTTAAAGTAATATTGTAAAATTGACATTTACTGTGTAAAATTTACAATCTTTATACAATGTTTTTTAATAATGGTTTTAAATGCAAAAATTACATTTTACAATTTGTAAAATTACAGTTTCGAAATGCAAATAATTTAAATAAAGCTGTAAAATTATACCTAGAGGTTAGGTCATAATGATTTTAAAATGCAACATTTTAAAATTACATATTTTTTAATTACTACAACTGTAAATTTAAAAAAATATTGTAAAAGTGACATTTACTGTGTAAAATTTACAATCTTTATACAATTTTTTTAATAATAATGGTTTTAAATGCAAAAAATACATTTTACAATTTGTAAAATTACAGTTTCGTAATGCAAATAATTTAAATAAAGCTGTAAAATTATAACTAGAGGTTAGGTCATAATGATTTTAAACTGTAAAATTTTAAAATTACATATTTTTTTAACTACTACAACTGTCAATTTAAAGTAATATTGTAAAATTGATATTTACTGTGTAAAATTTACAATTACTATCCAATTTTTTTTTAATAATGGTTTTAAATGCAAAAATTACATTTTACAATTTGTAAAATTACAGTTTCATAATGTAGAATATTTAGAGTTGTAAAATTAAAGAGGTTAGGTCATAATAATTTTAAAATGTAACATTTTAAAATTAAATATTTTTTTAGCTACTACAATTGAATTTAGAGTAATATTGTAAAATTGACATTTACTGTGTAAAATTCAATTTACAATCAATTCCAGTTTATCCAACTTTTTTAACAAGTCTTAAATGCAAAACTTACATTTTGACAATATGTAGTGTATTTACAACTATATCCAACTTTCTTATGGTTTTAAAGACAAACATTTCATTTTTACAATTTGTAAAATTATAATTTAATGTAAATTATTTAAATAGAGGTTTAAAATTATAGAGGTTAGGATTGTAAATTAAAAAATACATCGGTGACAATCTTGCGTCCAAAACCTTACAAAATGCAATTATTTACAGAAACAGGAAAAGTTTTACTTTTTAGTAAGTGTGAATAAATTTTACAAGGATTACATGTAAAATTTACAATATTTAAAGCGTGTATGTGCAAATGAGTTACAAGTAATTCCCACGTAGGAATTTGTGCAGTATTTAACGCAGACCTAATTTTGAAACGCAGACATTCAGTAATGAATTGAAATAATTGTAAAATTACAATGTATTTTTAAATTAAGTTTAATCATTGAAATAATTCATCATAAAATTAATCTCCGTTGCTGCAAATGTGTATTTATCAATAAGCTCACCATTTTTTAAATACAATTGTAAATGTAAAAGTTGTAAGATCTACAGAATTACAAAAAAAAATTATCGAAACGGAAAATTTTACAAGGATTACATGTAAAATTTACAACATTTAAAACGTGTGTGCAAACGGTTTACAGTGCAACATTTAAAGCAGAAACTATTTTAAATGTAAGAAACAGTCAATAGACACTCAAATAACTGTAAAATGTAAAATTACAATGTTTTTAAACTAAACTGTAAATTTAATTCAATTCATTAATAACCATACCACAAAATTGTCCACTACTGGTGTCAAATGTGTAGTATCACTACCAATAGATGTAACTATTTTAAAAATATGATCGTAAATGTAAAATTACAATTTTACAGTTTCATAAAATGTAAACTGTCTAAATAATAAAATAAATCGGTTACAGTTTCGTATCCAAAACCTTACAAATGGAAATTATTTTGCAGAAATAGGAAGTTTTACTTTTTAGTGTGATATTCTGATAGATACATTTTACATGAATCGCATGTAAAATTTACAACATTTAAACCATCTGTGTGCAAATGGTTTACAAGTAACTCCTATATTTGTGCACCATTTAAAGCAAAACCTATTTGAACGTAAAGAAACATTCGATAGGAATTTGAAATAATGTAAAATGTAAATTTACAATGCATTTTTGCAAAACTGTTTACGAAATGTGATTATTTTGCAGAAACAGGGAAAATTTTACTTTTTAGCAAGAGTGGTGCCCCGACATGATAAATTTTACAACATTTAAAGCATCGGTGTTGTAAGTAATTCCTACGTAGGAATTTATGCAACATTTAAAGCGAAAAATATTTTAAAATACGCAAAAAGGCATTCGAAAAATAAATTCAACGAATAAAACAAATAAAAAAATAAGAAATAAAATTTTTTAAACGTACGATTACAAAAAATTACGCCATCAGAGGAAACTACGAAGAGAGAACTTACCGATTCTGAGCAATTTTTCTTAGGGTATCGGGTACTCGTATTAATTTATCTAAAGTTTTTACAATAGACTGGAAACTAGGCCTGTGTGTCCTCTCCTTCTGCCAGCAGTCCAGCATCAGCTGGTATATGGCTTCCGGGCAGTCCATCGGAGCTGGCAACCTACAAAAGAAAAATAAAACGTAACACCCGTACCCGATTTTTAACGTTTTATAACATTACCTATATCCTTTCTCTATACTCTTGATAACGTCTTGATTGGACCAGTTCCAATATGGCCTCTCCCCGTAGGACATCACCTCCCAGCACACTATACCCATGGACCAAACATCGCTGGCGGACGTGAATTTACGGAACGCTATGGCTTCGGGGGCCGTCCATCGGACGGGAATCTTACCACCCTAAAAGACACATGTACTTTACAACGTCTCGGTCTTCACGTCTTCAATCGATAAATTGCATTAGACATAATCACAAAATTTGACATGGGTAGTGTGAAAACTCCCAAAAATCTTTTTTTTTTAATCAAATAATTATTAACTAGTGATGTGATACTCAAGAATGTTTAAAACATATAATTTTTTTAACCTGGGACGAATAAATATGGCCAAACACCTGAAAAAGTGCTCAAGTACTTTCGATTGTAATGAAGCACTTTTTATGGTGGCCAAGCATTTTTCATGGTGATTAAGCACTTTTGATGGTAGTCAAGCATTCTTTATGATGCTCAAGCACCTTTGATGTTCATCAAGCACATACTGTGCATTATTGGTAAATAAATTGCATTAGCATGATTCAGAAAATCTGGAATGGAGGTGTATGAAAACACCAAAAATTCACTTTTTAAATTTCAAATAACTGACTAGTTATGTGTCTGTCACTCAAAATTGTCAGAAAAAGATTTAATTTAACATCTGGAAATATGCTCAAGCACTTTTTACGAAGATCAAGCACTTTTCATGGTGATTAAGCACTTTTAATTGTAGTCAAGCATTTTTATGACGCTCAAACACTTTTGATGTTCTTCAAGTACATACTGTACATTATTGGTTAATATTACATTAGCATGATTCAAAAAATCTGGAATGGAGGTGTATGAAAAAACCAAAAATTCACTTTTTAAACTTCAAATAACTGACTAGTTATGTGTCCGTCACTCAAAATTGTCAGGAAAAGATTTAATGTAACATCTGGAAATGTGCTCAAGCACTTTTTACGAAGATCAAGCACTTTTCATGGTGATTAAGCACCTTAGATGGTAGTCAAGCATTTTTTATGACGCTCAAACACTTTTGATGTTCATCAAGCACATACTGTACATTATTGGTCAATAAATTGCATTAGTACGAATCAGAAAAACACCAAAAATTCACTTTTTAAACTTCCATTAACTGACTAGTTATGTGTATGTTACTCAAAATTGTCAGAAAAAGATTTAACTTAACATCTGGAAAAAAGCTCAAGCACGTTTTATGATGATCAAGCACTTTTCATGGTGATTAAGCACTTTTGATGGTAGTCAAGCATATTGATGACAATCAAGCACTATTTATAGCAATCAAGCATTTTTTTAGCGATCAAGCACTTATAATGGTGATCAAGCACTTTAAATCGATAAACTAAGAAAAATTTATTTTTTAAATTAAAATTTGAGTCAACCACCACCAAAATTAATACTGAATACTTGTCGTTTATAAAAATAGAGTCCAATTATTTTAAAAAACGACAAATATTAGAAAATTCATGCAAATTTTCGAGCCATGCGCCAAAACTAAATAATAAAAAAATAAAAAGGCAACATACCCTTCGAGAACTTACCCTTGTGGTATACGCCCCCTCCGTGGCACTCTCGATCTCCCTGCTAAGGCCGAAATCAGCTATTTTACACACGAGTTGGGAATTGACCAACACGTTCCTGGCAGCTAGGTCGCGATGCACGTAATTCATCTCGCTGAGGTACTGCATGCCGGACGCGATGCCCCTCAGCATGCCCGTGAGCTGGATCACTTGGAATTTTCCGTCGTTTGCCTAAAATGTCACAAATTATTCAAGTAAACCCGAAGTTTTGTGCCGCGTCTATACTTTTACCCTCAAAAATGTGTCTAAGGACCCGTTTTCCATGTATTCAGTGATAATCATGACGGGATTCGATTTCGTAACTACCCCCTGCAGGAATATGACGTTCGGGTGCTCGAATTGTCCCATTATAGAAGCTTCCGTGAGGAAATCGTTACGAGACTTGTCCAGAGATCCGGCTTTGAGCGTTTTTATCGCCACGTCAATGTCCACGCCGTTCATTTTCAACTTTCCTCGACAGACGTCCCCAAATTCGCCACCTCCTAAAAGAATTATTCAAGGAACGATACAATAACGGCTATTTCAGGCGGCTTACCGATAATCGCTTCTATCGTGATGCAACTCGCATCGATTTCCCTGGCAAACTCCCGAACGGCCTGATTGGGGTCCTCGTAAGTGTGGGGGTCGATGTAGGTCCTAGACGAGCCGCTGATTCCCGTGAAAAGCGGCGTTGTCACTGAAATTTTTCTTTATGAGGACGCGGTACTAAAAATTCGGGATGTAACATCCGAAACTTTGTTGAATTGAGTTCAGTCCAGTTAGGAGGATCCCCAAGCGTATCAATTTCAAGAAGTGCAGCGCGAAGTGAAGTTCAACAAAGTTTTGGATGCTACTTTACAGTGAATCAATGAATAAAAGAAAAAAAGAAAAAAAAAACAAAAATTACCATTTGTATGGGTAGTAACTATAGGGGGATTGTCCAAGCTGTGATGAACTAAAAATAAATTAAATGACATAAAATATAGAAGCAAACACTAAAAAAAAGTGTAAAAATAATAAAAAACTAAAAGTTAGTACACGGGTCTTTCGTTTCCCAAATTTTTTTCTCCATTAATGGCAGCTGATGAAAACTGAAGTACTCATATTTTGATAATTGACTTTGGGGCCTATACCAATTTTTTAGAGGATTATTTCTAAGCTCACATCGAGAACCTTGATGACAAAAATTCAGAAAGAATTTGGAAATAAGATGGTATGACTAAAAACAAAATATAATATTGTGAAAAATAAATAAAATACCTATTTGTATATATCAGTCGATTATGAAAAAAGATAATTTGCACATACATATACAATACGCAACCCTTTCCAAGATTTCAGGATTGACAACACATATTTTATTTTTTTTATTTCACAAATTCCATTCCAAGTTTTTCATCATAAAAATTCTCTGTTCGAATATAAGAATCATCGTCTAGAAAACAACATGGGTCCCACGCTTCACGTTTTATTATCAAGATATGATCACTTTCACTATCCACTGTAACTCCGGATATTTAATAACCAAGCGCTTTAATATACTTCATTATTACATGAAATTACATTGATTGGACATAATACAGCAAGTTTATTGTACTATTTTCTGCACTTCTGACAAAATTCTAAATCTGCTGATACAGCAAAGCCCTATTCTCTGTGGCGTACGTTGAAATACGCTGATATAGAAAGAAGTAATAAGTACACCTACAGAAACATCACTTGTACATTTTGTACTATAAGAATATTACACTATAACACCGATTTTTGTGAAAAAAATTGCCATTTTCGGTTACAATTTTAAAAACACTTTGTACCGCCGCCATATTTGCGTGTCTACAGGTTTGTAACGCGATAAAAGGAAAAGTACTAAAAATCACCAAGACAAACTGGTGCGGGTAAATCGGACCGGTTTTAAACATAGCTGTCAAAAATCTTTTGTTAATAGCTTTGTTCCTAGTAGAATCCAAAACAGTTTCCAACAGTCAGACGCATGCGCATATGGATGTAATGCTTACATAAGGTTCAAAATTCATTGTTTCGAATCAAATGCGATTGCGTCGGACTGTTTGAAACTGTTTCTAATGCACTAGGAACAAAGCTAATAATAGTGAAATAAGTCCATAATCCCATTTGTTCACATAATACAGTGAATGTATGAAAAATTAACAGAATTTTAACTAAATTTGTCAAATTTTATGTGGAATAAAATTAGAACACAAAGGGGAGAAATTATAATTTATGCAGTCCAATTTATGATTTCCATAACAATCTAGAGTTGATAGTTGCCAACTTAATTTTAGTGAGTAAAACATCATAACCTAAAAATCGTAATTTTGAATTTTTTTTATAACGAAAATATTAAAATTATGATTACTTATGAATGAAGATCTTATATTTGGACATTTTACGTAGAATAAACCAGTGTACTAAAGTTTCAATTTTCTTCCCAAATGGGAATAAGAGAATAAAAAGATAAAGATGGTTATAAAAAAATTAAAAAAGGACATTTTCTTCTCGTTTGCCCAAACAAAATATAAAGGATGATGTGCAAAATAGTGAAATGGAAAAAATCGAACCAAAAAAGTAAATAAATAAACGGACGACACAATCTAAACTTACTGTAAGTGACTACCAGTCCTTTTAGGGTGAAGGGAGGCGTGAAAGTGCATATCGGACATTAATTTACAATATATCACATAAAGCGACGTCTATTCTAAGACCTCTAAGCGCTAAACCTGCCTAGATGTGCTGCTATATCTGTCGTGGCATAACCTAATGTTTTTTTTTACTTATCGCCCTAACCGCTACAAAAAAATCGACTCACCCTCCCCGTTCCTGTACTCCAAGGTGTCGCAGTCGCTCGGCTGCTTCTTGTTGCACTCGTCGTTGGACCTGGAGCGGAGGAACACCACCGTCAACACTATGACGGCGACGAGGATGACGACGACCGCCACGATCCCGCCCGCTACCAGTTGCAGTCTTAGGCCTTCCTCGTCTCCTATATAAGCTAGAAAAACGCCTCGGGTAACGCCGGAAGTCCTACGAGCGGGTCGTTTTTGCTTACCTGTGTTTAGGACTTGCCCGGTAGTTTTGAATATGACGGGCGAGTAGGCTCCCCAGCCTCGTTGCGTCTTGGCGCGGACCTGGAGGCCGTACTCGGTCCTCTGCTGCAGGCCGGTGATGGTGGCAGACAGGTCCGCCGTCAGCAGGCTGGTGGAGTTGCTGTAGTCGATGTCGTTGCGTTGGAACCAACGCACCTGGAATGGGGTCGTCTTTAAGATCGAACCAATGCCGGTCACGTTTTTTTAGAGTTATTGCGTTTCGGGCACAGCCAATTTTTTATCGGTCAAAATATTTTTTAATTTAGGCGAGATTCAGTTTAGTTTTTAAGTCAATAACATTTAAGGGGGATAGCCACTGTGATGGGTCAAAAAAATAAATTTTTTTACTGAAAGAATGGTCCAAAAACTAAATTCAAAACGACTTTTTTCAAACTGGTAATTATTATTATTAATTATCAACCGATTTCTAATTTTTTTTTGTTTTATTCGTTTTTGCAATGGCTAAGGTTAAGCATAGCCGATTTTGAAAATTTTGATTATTACTATTTCTTAAGGTTGCTTAAGGGACAAAAAATTGAAAAAAATTTTCAATCGGTCGCCATTTTGTAAAAAATCAAAATAAAAAATTACTACGTACAACGATAACTACATTCAAATAGATTCTAATGCAATTTGATTTCTATTTTTCAGACAATCCGTTTTTTGGAAAATCGATGTGACCATGGAGGGGCATTTTTTTAAAAGTTTTACAGCAAGGCTCATAACTTTGTAACAACTTAATATTTTTTGATAAATTTTTATTAAAAAATATTAAAAATGTAAATTTTACATGAACCAAATTAATAAAATTAAAAAAAAAAAACGATCCCCATATTCCTTAATTTTCTTGGTCAAAAAATATCACTCACTTTTTCGGCCGTCACAGTTACATGTTTAGTCACAATTTTTTCGTATTTTTTTACTGTTTTCTGGTATATTTCTTATTATATCGCACATTTTTACCATCCGTAATACTTATTCTCTTTTACTTGTCAATTTTTCCCCACATTTTTTCTTTTAAACTACTGTTACTAATTTCTTTTTCGAAAATTTGTCAGTTCTAACATACATAAAGTATGCGATCCAAAGTTAACGCATACAAGTGTTGTTATTTCCTTTTGCCTCAAGCATTTTTTTATCAACATGCTACCTGTGAAAATACGTTTGCGGTGTTAATAGCCTTATCCGAGACGACAGATTTTTTGTTTAAGCACTGAGTTTAGTTTGTGAATGTCAGTGTCGATGACCTTTGATGCTAATCTAGTTTAGGTGAACTACTACTACATGATATCAATCCACCTGATAAAAACAAATGACCAACGTTAAATCGGCGAAAGGAAAACGACCAAAGAGTGACAGCAAAAAACTTGTGATTTTCGCCAGTTTTTTCACAATTCGCAGAGAATTAAAAAAATATATAAAAATTTGTTTTTGGTCACAAATTACCTGTCGTAAAAAACTGAAATGAGCATAGATAGCTTTTAGTATTTTGAAAATTTTAAAAACCACTTAGGGGTTGAAAAAATGCCAAAAATTAAGAATTTTAATATTACCAATTGATATAAAAAGTATTAGCATGTGAATTATCTTAATATATTCTTTTTGGAATTTTTACAATTATTTCTGATATTCTCTATTTTTGGGGATGATTCCACCCCCTGAGCGTGCTTAAGGATGGATTTTCTAATTCAACATGCTTATTTCAGTCATGAGAATAAATCTTTCTTTGTATCAAGAATTATTCGTTTGAAAAATTCACATGCTAATAGTTCAGTCCCTAAATAGAGGTGATTTTTGAAAATTTTCAAAAAACTAAAAGCTATGCTCATCTTAATTTTTTACGAGTAATTTTAAACCAAAAACATATTTTTATGTATTTTCTCTGGTTCTCTGCGAATTGTGAAAGAATGGGCGATTTTTGCAGTCACTCTTTGTCACCACTTCAATTTATTACATTTATTTTAGTTTATTATTTATCGGTTTACATGACGTGGTTCGTAATAAGGTGCTTCTAAACGATTTTTTCTTAATTTTGGGCACTTATATGTAACAAACTGCACTTATGAATTAAAACAAATCAAATTTCTGAAGCCCTAAAGATTTTAAATGACCACTGTTGATTAGAAAATTGTTTGACTTTTTTATTTGCCGTTTTTCCAACATTGAAGTCCCTAGCCCCTAGGTGATCAATAATATTGTCAATAATCGATTCAATATTGATGGGAAGACCATATTGTAGGAAATATTGACAGTCTAGGAGCGTATAAAACCAGATAAAAACAAACGACCAACGTTAATTCGGCGAAACGAAAACGACCAAATTTGTCACCACTTCAATTTATTGCATTTATTTTAGTTTATTATTTATCGGTTTACGCGACGTGGTTCGTAATAAAGTGGTTCTAAACGATTTTTTCTTAATTTTGGGCACTTATTAGTAACAAACTGCACTTATGAATTAAAACAAATCAAATTTCTGAAGTCCTAAAGATTTTAAACGACCACTGTTGACTAGAAAATTGTTTATAACTTTTTTATTTGCCGTTTTGCCAACATTGAAGTCCCTAGCCCCTAGGCGATCAATAATATTGTCAATAATCAATTCAATAATGATGGGAAGACCATATTGATGGAAATATTGACCGTCTAAAAGCGTATCGAAGCCTCCTATCAATTTTGACAGATTTTGATAGAAATGTTATTTTTCAGTAAATATTGAAGGACCCTTTGAACGTCTAGGAGTTTATTGACGATATTTCCTTCAATATCAGTTGCTTTATTCGTTCATTCGTCCGGTTCTGTAAAACGCGAAAAATTCAGCACATTTTCATGTGTAAAGCGGCTTCTCAGTTTTGGACCAGCGTCTATTTCTCTTTGATTTTTTTCGCATAGTGAGTCAACGTTAGAAATCCCGAATTCGAATTGAAAAAAATCTCGAAATTCAAACAAAAAAAACCACCACTGAAACAGCTCCGACAATGAATATTTTTGCCAGAATGAGTACCGCGAGAATATCGATGTGTTTATGGAAGCATATCGATGCGTGCTTCAGTATCGAGCGTCAATATCGAAGCGATTATTAACGATATTACTGATGCCCTTTACAAAAGGTCCAGTTCATTCTTCACTTCTTGTACGCTCCAGACACTGTATACAAGTCCTTTATAAATGATTACAAGCCACCTGACCGCTGTGTTTAGGGAACTGATACTGTCACCTAAAAGTCCCTAAATCTTGGTGCCACCAATATGATTCGTCTACGATGAACAATGACAAACTGTGGAAACCGATGAAACAGAATGTTGTGTTTTAACGTACTCTTCATCTTACCGTTTTAATAATTCTTAATTTTATCAAAATTTAATTGTCAACGCGAAGGAAATGAACTATTACCAACAAAATTTCCTACCTCATAGGTCTCTACCATATCGTTCTCGATCTCGGAGCCGTCCCCTGTCGTCGGGGCGTCCCACGCCAGGGTAATTTCGGTGCTCTTCACCGACAGCACCCTTATGTTGGTTATGCTGCTGGCGACAAGCGCCTCCGTCGTCACCACGATGTCCGCGTACTCCGGACTCGACTTCAGCTGAAGGTGGGACACGCCGTTCTCGGCGAAAATCTGGAAACGGTACGTTGTCACCGAGTTTAGGCCGCTTATGGTGATCCTCGTGTCGTTGAACGTTTCCTGGAAGAGAGAATTATGGAAAACAATAACAGCGGCAGTAAGTGGAGGACTTACCGTATTGGGATTGTATTGAACCGGGCCCAAGCTGCAGGCGTCGCACTTTATTCTGTAGACGGTGTCGGACCTGCCGCCCAGATTTTCCGGCTGGAGCCAGCTTAGGGCCACGTTCGACTGGTCGACGAAGGTGACCGTCAAGTTCTGGGGTGCCGATGGCGGTTCTGACAAAAAAAATACGTTTTATTTCAATACGATTCATGATATACGCAAATCGTTTAAAAACATAGTGAAGATTTTTATATTTATGTAATTTCACAATCTACTAATTTCATATGTTACAAAATACAATACAAAAGTTGAGAGCTGATGGTATGATACGAGCTCGACGATTTGGTGCATAAGTAAGGCGGAGAGGTGGGGGAAGCTATTAAATAATTTCGTTAGTACATTAAATGCCCTGCTTTAGGCCTTCATTACTAAAAATATTCCAAAATGTTTCGTCCTTCGAGCTATGCCCAGAAAATTCATAAATTTATTAAACGTTTTCTTGGTTTATATTGCCAAGGAACAGAGGGCGATAAAATATTGCGTTTGTTGAAAGATTTTATCGGCTGGTTTTTCTGTTACTCTAAAATACATATTGAAAATCAAACGTATAAAAGAAATTGACTCTTACAGCTGCCAGACTGGGTATTTTTATTATACGAGTATGTGTGTGTGTGGTCTTTAATAAACGATTTTGATTATCGGAGACCTAAGTAGAAAACAACATTAAAAATGTCTTATACCTTGAGCGGAGACCAATAAATTCAAAACATTATTAAACATTTACCTGATTATGATATGTTAAAAATGTAAGAAAATATTGCATTTTGCGATTGATTCTATTGCGCAGTAGATGCTATTACTCTAAAAGACATATTGAGAGTCAAATACTTAAATGAAAAGAACAGTTACAGCTGCTGTACTAGGTATTTTTATTGCAGGATCTAATTTTTGTGTTCAATCTGCCAATATTCTAATGTGTGTGATCAATAATAAACAAGTTTGACTATCGGGAACCTAAGTAGAAAAAATGTAGATAATCGTACATGAAACAACATTAAAAATGTCTTATTTTTTGAGCATAGCCAAATAAATTCAAAAAATTATTAAACATATACCCGATTATGATATGCTAGAAAAGTAGGTAAGAAAATATTGCATTTTGCGATTGATTCTGTTGCGCAGTAGATGCCATTACTCTAAAAGACATATTGAGAGTCAAATACTTAAATGAAAAGAACAGTTACAGCTGCCGTACTGGGTATTTTTATCGCAGGATCTAATTTTTGTGTTCAATCTGCCAATATTCTAATGTGTGTGATCAATAATAAACAAGTTTGACTATCGGGAACCTAAGTAGAAAAAATGTAGATAATCGTACATGAAACAACATTAAAAATGTCTTATTTTTTAAGCAGAGCCCAATAAATTAAAAAAATTATTAAACATTTACCCGATTATGATATGCTAGAAAAGTAGGTGAGAAAATATTGCATTTTGCGATTGATTCTGTTGCGCAGTAAATGCTATTACTCTGAAAGACATATTGACAGTCAAATATTTAAATGTAACGGACAGTTACAGCTGCCATACTGGGTATTTTTATTGCATGATCTAATTTTTGTGTTCAATCTGCCAATATGCTGATGTGTGTGATCCATAATACACAATTTTGATTATCGGAAACCTAAGTAGAAAAAAATGTAGATAATCATACATGAAACAACATTTAAAATTATTCCTTGAGCGGAGCTCAATAAATTCGAAAAATTATTAAACATTCACCCGATTATGATATGTTAGAAAAATAGGTAAGAAAATATTGCATTTTGCGATTGATTCTGTTGCGCAGTAGATGCTATTACCCTAAAAGACATATTGAGAGTCAAATACTTAAATGTAACGGACAGTTACAGCTGCCATACCAGATATTTTTATTTCATTTACATATTTTAATTTTTATGTTCAATGTACTTTTCATAAAAAAAACTACTTCACTTACGTGTGCAAGACATGTTCTTAGGGTCGGTGGCCGCCCGGAAGTACCCCGGATTGCACTGGCACTCCGTCAAACCGTAGTCTGGGCCTTGAGAGTGGGGCGGGCATGGAAGACAAGGACCATCACCTGTTTCAGCCTTATAAGTTTCCCTTTGACACACTAAAACCGATAAAAAGTCAAGTAAACGTCACAAGAATCAAATATACCATGGGTCTCGGGAGGTATCCTTGAGGTACCCCGAAAACTCACCGTTGCAAGTCTGCTTTTCCATGTCGGGCTGGAAGCCCGCTTTGCACTTGCAGCCTCCAGTGGGCAGCGTCCACTTCCCGTCCCCCTTGCAGAGGTAGGTGGGGGTTCCCCCTACCACCTCGGCGTTGCTGACGCACGTACCGGTGGCCTGCTCGATTATGACGATTTCTTTGCCGGTGGGGGTCGAGGGGAACCGGGCAAAGTTCACTGTTACCTCTGGACAGACTATGTAGTAGATCTGACAAAAAAATGCAATAAAAAACCTTTTGAACTCGATATTTTGAAGGATATTCGCAAAGTAAGTAACTTCGATGGCAAGTATAATGGATTTGCACAGTAATTTAATGAATTTGTGCACAGTAACAACTTATTAGGTATTTTGATTTTATTTGCTCAGTATATAAATGCCAGATGCTAAGTATAATACATAAATGCACAATAAATGTAAATTAGTGAACAAAAAAAATTAAATATAACTTTTTTGCCCAAAGGTTATAAAATGTTAGGAATTTTAACTTTTTTTTTAATGGTTTTTACTGTTTTATTGGTTTGTATTGTTTGTTTTGATAAACAAAGGAATTTTGTCGAGTCTGGGTCGAGATGAACGTAATAAATGATTGTTTCTCAGATATTTTTCTGCTTACTTTAATAGCTAGGAGGGAGATGCAGGCGCCCTGATCTCTGAAGGCAAAATACACCCCTTTCTTAGTGACAGGGATGCTCTTCACTTCGGTGTTTATGTTGACTTCGCTGTTGGAGTTGAACCTACCCTCACCAGCTGCAATTCGACCTAAAAGAAAAATAATGGTCATTTCATAAACGAAAGAAAATTGAAAGCATTGATGTTGTTACTATTTGCATATTTCAAAAATGGTACAATACAGAAGTTGGCGGAACATAAAAAGTAAGACCTTTTTTTCCCTATGAGACTATTGTTTTTTGTTATTGAGACACGTGACACTAAAAAATATATTTTAAGATCCACTTTTGAGTCAAAAACAGTGTGTGTAACACTTGTTATTTTTAAAAGTATTGTAATAATGCGAATCAATATATATTTTATTATGAAATGAAACTATCGTGGTTGCTTTGAATCAGGCCTCAGCTGTTCACACGAAATGCACCAGCCAAGTATTTATGTGCCCTTGAGATAATGTAATTTATGGGTATATACAAAGATGTAGCTCAAGATGCCGAAACAGAGAGGGTGTTCTTTGAGACAGTGGTGCCTGGCCAGCGTCCGAATAAGGTCGGTTATTATATCTGTGTGCTAGCTTGAATATATTTGTTTAATAATTTGTGAATTTGTGAGTAACATGCCATACTCGTTTATGTTTTTGAAAACCCCAGGGCATGCCACGTGTTCCCGGTCTTTATGGCTGTGGTTCCTTCAAAGTGTGTCTTGTAAGTTCTACGGGGTCTTACATGCGCTTTGATTGACACATACTGGGTGTGGCATAATAATAATAATAGTGTGACACACACCCGGTAGTTGGGATGCTTACTAGTTGACGTCCGGGGGAGCCTTGACTTATTTCAGGTGACACTAGCTAGTTGTTGAAGAAATAATGATACACAGTTGCTAATTAATGTAATGGAAACATATGGAAGGATATACCTTGAATCCTAAGGTTAGGGGGAGTGTAACCCCCTGGTGAGTTACCTATTTATTTGTTTTTATTGACAGAACAGTAATTTTGTTATTTGTTTCATATACCCTCTTAATTTCTGACGAATGACCCGGCTGTTGTCGAGATAACTGCTTTGTGATGACCCATGTATAAAAGGTAACAATACCAACAATAACATCTATGTTACATGTGTTTATTGAAATTGGGTACAATTAAGTTTTTGAGGATGACAAATGGGTTAGTATTATTAGCTAATCATGTTTTTTTCTCTCAAAGTAAACCTCAAATTACAACAGACATGTGAGATAAGAAAGTCAACTTGTTAGGTCGCAATTTAAAAGTTGATATTAGCTACTCAGAGTGTTACAGTTATAGTGAACATGTTTTTTTACAAAAATTTCTAATAACTTTTACAGTTGTCGAGATATCGATTTTAAATTTGGTCTTTCAAAAAAAAATTAGCCCCCACGTCCTTTTTGAAGCTACCCTGTATAAGTTCTAAGAAGACAAGTATTCGAATTTATCGCATTCTAAAAACTCCTATCTGGTTCCTTGAACAAATATTGATTCTAAACCTCATTAAGGCTAATAAAACAACTAATGAACGTCTCGAAATTTAACAGCTCTCCGTTTTGAAAGCGATCCGACCACATGGACGGGCAAACAATAGTGATTCTCAAAATCGCCCAAGTTCAACGCTCAATGAAGATTCTGTATTTATTTTGTTGGATAGTTGCCACACTCCCAGGCGAGCGTCTCAAATTAAATTAACAGCAATTCGTGTTAAGTTACGAGCACGCACAAATGATTAATCTAATCGATGTTCTATACAGGGTCGGGCATTTTACAGTTCAAAAAAATAATAATAGTGGGAAATTGGAATTATTATTATTTTTTAAATTATTGAAACAATAAGCTCAAGATCACATTAAAACGCAACATTCTGTTTCACCGGCTGTGATTGGTGTAATTGTTGTTTTTCATAACTGAAACTACATACAGGGTGTCTCACGGTGACCGGCCCATTAGAATTATTTCAAACTATTTCGATTTGAATTTTGAAAATTTGAGATACTGGGTTTCGGGCATGCCCTTCTCAACTAAAATAATGGCGTCCACGTACCACTTCCGGTTATGCCGGAAGTCGCCATCAACTTGCTTATTTTAAATAGAACACCCTATATATTATTGCAATTTTGGATTCTACGTGTAATTTTAGGTGGACTTTTATGAAGTTTCCCTGTTCCTAAATTTAACCGTTTTCGAGATATTTAATTTTTTTCAAAGAAATGGAGAGAAACAGTGACCATGTGTATTTTATAGTAAGAAAGATAAAGCAACAATATTTATAAGGAGGATAGCTAGACCCCTAAGCTTTCCATCCATACTTTGAAAGTGGCTTAATTGCATACAGGGTGCTAGAAATGTAATGCCGAGTTTAGTTAACTTCAAACCTTCGTAAGTCGGTTTTTCTAAATGGAACACCCTGTATGTTTTTCTATTGTATTCTGATACACAATTTTATTCTCTTTCGAACGGTATCAGGGTTCCCTATACCTATCTCTTCTAGTTTTTAAGTCATCTACTATTTTGTGTGTAATCACCTAAAATCATGTAATTTCTTGCGAGGATAGCTGTGGAATTTTTAGCAAAACTTCAAAACAAACAACTGAACTGTCACCAGTTATATATTATTATTTATTCACAGACGTTGCAATGGGATTCTAAGCTGAACATTTACAGTTTTTAATGAGACATATCCCAATTTTCCACCAATGAGCAGAATAAAGTTAAGAATTCTAAAAAATCAACTTCATACATAAGTAATACACAATTTTAATTATGTATGTTGATAATAATAATGCACTAAGATAAAAAAAAATACTTAAAAAATGTCATAAGTGTTCAATATGACCCCCATTAACAGCTAGAAGAGATAGTTATAGGGAACCCTGATACCGTTTGAAAGAGAATAAAATTGTGTCAGAATATAGAAAAACATACAGGGTGTTCCATTAAAAAAACGACTTATGAAGGTTTGAACTTAACTCGGCAAAAAATTTCTAGCACCCTGTATGCAATTAAGCCACTTTGAAAGTATGGATATGAAGCTTAGGGGTCTAGCTATCCCCCCAATAAATATTGTTGCTTTATCTTTCTTACTATAAAATACATATGGTTTGAAGCTAGTCACTGTTTCTCTCCATTTTTTTGAAAATAATTAAATATCTCGAAAACGGTTAATTTTAGGAATAGGTAAACTTCATAAATGTCCACCTAAAATAACACGTAGAATCCAAAGTTGCAATAATATATAGGGTGTTCCATTTAAAATAAGCGAGTTGATGGCGACTTCCGGTATAACCGGAAGTGGTATGTGGACGCCATTATTTTAGTTGAGAAGGGCATGCCCGAAAACCCGGTATCCCAAATTTTCAAAATTCAAATCGAAGTAGTCTCTGAAATAATTCTAATTCACCGTGAGACAATCTGAACAAAATTGCGTTATAGTCTGTTTGGAAATGAAAGAGAGTAATAAAACCCCGAGATAAGAACCGGCCATGGGCGTGGTAATATTTCGTTTCAGGTAATTATCGGGTAACACTAATGCTAATTCCGTGACGAAGGGAGGAATATTTATTATCTAGACGAAACTTGGATCAACGAGGGATATACTGTAACAAAAGTATGGCAAGATAAAAATGTAAAAAGTTTTCGACAAGCATTTTTGGATGGACTTTCAACAGGGTTCAAGGCACCTTCAGGTAAAGAACGAAGATTAATAGTGACACACATAGGTAGTGCCAGTGGTTTTGTAGATGGCGGTTTACTTTTATTTGAATCTAAAAATACAGGTGACTATCACGAAGACATGAACGCAGATGTTTTCGAAGAGTAATTTACACAGATGTTGGATCTTATTCCTTCGGGGTCTATAACTGTCATGGATAATGCCAGTTACCATTCACGGCAGACCGAGCGGACGCCTACGACTGCTTGGAGGAAAGCCGATATAATTCAATGGTTATCCGGAAAAAACATTTCTTTTGAAACAAATATGGTGAAAAAGGAACTTTTGACACTTGTCAATCTTAATAAAGATCAGAAAAAATATGTTATCGATGAAATGACAACAAATCGCCAAATAACGGTACTACGGTTACCACCTTATCACTGTGAACTTAACCCAATCGAATTAGTCTGGGCGCAGGTAAAAGGAGATGTAGCACGAAATAATACGACGTTTAAATTAAGTGACGTGAAAATTTTGTTAAAAAATTCCTTGGAACGAGTAACTGCAGATAACTGGCAAAGATGTATACATCATGTACAAAAAGAAGAGGAGAAAATGTGGGAACTCGATAATTTAATTGACGTTACTATGGAACCTATCGTTATCAATCTAGGAGACGAAGATAATTTATCAGAATATTCAGAGGATGAATTTTAATATACCTACTTTTTTATTTTCTTTATTGTACATTTATACACTACATTTACTCACCATAATTTGAATTTTCAAAATACATATATTTTTGTGTGGAATAAAAGTCTATTCATTAAATTTAAATAAATATTTTGATAATAATATTGAATAATTTTATTTGAATTACTAAAAACCCTCTCAACCCGCTTATGATGCTTAAAGTAGCCTCATGTTTTGAAATGCTGTTTTTATATTGTTTACTTATAAGAGAAATGGACCGAGAAATTGAAGCGGCATAGACAAAGACGGATTGTCGGGGATTAAATTTTAGCTACCTGCTACAATTTAGTACAGTCCGATCGCACAAAGTTTTTTTAAAAGTACACCTCATCCTATACCGATAATACATAATATAAAAATATTGAATATAAGCACCAGTACTACATTTATTTACGATTTGCATACATAATAAGCTTTTATTACTCTCTTTCATTTCTAAACAGACTATAAATACTCAGTTTTGGCATTAATTAAAAACACAAATCTATAAATAATTCGAGAATACTTCACGGAATTTAAATTCGCATTGCAAAAAAATATATCTAATAATACGAAATTGGCTACATTTTTTAAGCGTCGAAAACAGTCGTCAAACGCCATCTTCTGACACGACGCGTAACTGTTACGACCATTAATAAATAGTTTTTTTCTTCCTGTACATAAAAATCGACC